AGAAATGTCACAAGTGGAGTACCACAGGGTTCAGTTCTTGCACCAGTGATGTTTATTGTGTACATAAATGATCTACCAGTTGGTATACAGAATTATATGAACATGTTTGCTGATGATGCTAAGATAATAGGAAGGATAAGAAATTTAGATGACTGTCATGCCCTTCAAGAAGACCTGGACAAAATAAGTATATGGAGCACCACTTGGCAAATGGAATTTAATGTTAATAAATGTCATGTTATGGAATGTGGAATAGGAGAACATAGACCCCACACAACCTATATATTATGTGAGAAATCTTTAAAGAATTCTGATAAAGAAAGAGATCTAGGAGTGGTTCTAGATAGAAAACTATCACCTGAGGACCACATAAAGAATATTGTGCAAGGAGCCTATGCTATGCTTTCTAACTTCAGAATTGCATTTAAATACATGGATGGCGATATACTAAAGAAATTGTTCATGACTTTTGTTAGGCCAAAGCTAGAATATGCAGCTGTTGTGTGGTGCCCATATCTTAAGAAGCACATCAAAAAACTGGAAAAGGTGCAAAGACATGCTACTAAGTGGCTCCCAGAACTGAAGGGCAAGAGCTACGAGGAGAGGTTAGAAGCATTAAATATGCCAAAACTAGAAGACAGAAGAAAAAGAGGTGATATGATCACTACATACAAAATAGTAACAGGAATTGATAAAATCGACAGGGAAGACTTCCTGAGACCTGGAATTTCAAGAACAAGAGGTCATAGATTTAAACTAGCTAAACACAGATGCCGAAGAAATATAAGAAAATTCACCTTCGCAAATAGAGTGGTAGACGGTTGGAACAAGTTAAGTGAGAAGGTGGTGGAGGCCAAGACCGTCAGTAGTTTCAAAGCGTTATATGACAAAGAGTGCTGGGAAGACGGGACACCACGAGCGTAGCTCTCATCCTGTAACTACACTTAGGTAATAATTACAGGTGGAAACTGAGTACCCACATGAGCCACAGAGACGTTAGAAGGAACTTTTTCAGTGTCAGAGTAGTTAACGGATGGAATGCATTAGGCAGTGATGTGGTGGAGGCTGACTCCATACACAGCTTTAAATGTAGATATGATAGAGCCCAGTAGGCTCAGGAATCTGTACACCAGTTGATTGACAGTTGAGAGGCGGGACCAAAGAGCCAAAGCTCAACCCCCGCAAGCACAAATAGGTGAGTACAGTGCTGTAAAGACACTGGAGCCAGAGCACACAACCTTCGCCTATAGCATCAGCCTCAAGAACTGAGGTATGGGTAGCCGGCGTGAAGGGTCTGGGGCTCCCCCTTCACCATCCCGGGGAGGGGGAAGCTGCGCAGACAACGGCGCGGCAACGAGTTACGTCATACTAGTTTGCTCATTTTCTGTTGGGGAGTTCTATCCACTAGTTCGGCTTTTGGTAGCAATTTTAACCAGAACAGGGGTTTGTTTTGGGGCGCTTACCTTTCTGGGTACCTGATCCGGTCAATGGCAGACATACAATGCTTCCAACCACACGGGGGTTTCTATAGGCAATTGCTCCCCTTGCCTCTCTGAGGGAGCCAGGTTCTGACCGTGGTTTCTGGTAGGCCTAAGAGCTCCATACACATGACTGATGCCAAAGTCTGACATTAGCATATCAGCCTGGGATAGCTCCGGGGAGCCGACGGGGCTCCCCCCAGAAATAACATTCAGAAAGTTCAGAGACTTGCATCAAGACTAATAGCAAAAGAAATGTTCATAATGCACAATATTCTGTACTCTAAAACACTGACTAAATGTACAATGACCAATGACACTCTTCCAGATGAAAAGATGTTGGTCTTGAGATTACAGGTGGAAACTGGAAATATAACTAAGCAAGAGGGATGTAAGAAAGTACAAAGCCCTTTACTATACAAGTAGTAAACCGATAAAATGAACTGCAGGAAAAAGCATTCGAGGCAAATTCAATCCACTTTATAAATAGATATAAGGAAGCGGAGCATGTGGAACTAGTAACCCAAAAGTGTGGTGGAAGGTTCCAGAGGCTAATCCTCCCTACCGGCAAGTACTGTACGTATAGGTAAGACCTAAAAAGGCACGTGTGAATCCATACATATGTACACATGTATGTATCTATATACCAACCCACATGAACATGAGGCACCCTCCACACACAAGATGAAATTTAAATGTTATAAGATAAAAAGTCATATAGGGTTGGGAATGTGTTTTGCCAGATGTTAATAACTCTAGAGGAGGAGCCCCAAGAGCTCGCACTCCCTCCATGCATACACAGTGAAATAAGAAAATACGCGCGCGCACACGCGCGCACACACACACACACACACGCGCACACACACACTCACACACACACACACACACACACACACACACACACACACACACACACACACACACACACACACACACACACACACACACTATTCTACAAATTCATAAACAACAAATTGCAGGTAAAGGAAAATATCCAGAGGTTGAAAATGGGAAACAGATTCACGGAAAATGAAAAGGAAATGTGTGAAACATTAAATGAAAAGTTCCAAAGTGTGTTTGTACATAATGAAATCTTCAGAGAACCAGACACAATAAGAATTCCAGAGAACAACATAGAGCGGATAGAGGTGTCTAGAGTTGAAGTGGAAAATATGCTAAAGGAGCTCGGGAGGAACAAAGCAGCTGGCCCAGATGGCGTTTCACCATGGGTTCTGAGAGAATGTGCATCTGAGCTCAGCATTCCACTTCACCTGATCTTTCAGGCATCCCTGTGTACAGGAATCGTAGCAGACGTGTGGAAACAGGCTAACATAGTTCCAATCTACAAAAGTGGCAGCAGGGAAGACCCCCTCAATTATAGACCTGTATCATTGACAAGTGTAATAGTGAAAGTATTGGAAAAGCTAATCAAAACTAAATGGGTAGAACACCTGGAGAGAAATGATATAATATCAGACAGACAGTATGGTTTTCGATCAGGAAGATCCTGTGTATCGAATTTACTCAGTTTCTATGATCGGGCCACAGAGATATTACAGGAAAGAGATGGCTGGGTTGACTGCATCTATCTGGACCTAAAAAAGGCTTTCGACAGAGTTCCACATAAGAGGTTGTTCTGGAAACTGGAAAATATTGGAGGGGTGACAGGTAAGCTTCTATCATGGATGAAAAATTTTCTGACTGATAGAAAAATGAGGGCAGTAATCAGAGGCAATGTATCGGAATGGAGAAATGTCACAAGTGGAGTACCACAGGGTTCAGTTCTTGCACCAGTGATGTTTATTGTGTACATAAATGATCTACCAGTTGGTATACAGAATTATATGAACATGTTTGCTGATGATGCTAAGATAATAGGAAGGATAAGAAATTTAGATGATTGTCATGCCCTTCAAGAAGACCTGGACAAAATAAGTATATGGAGCACCACCTGGCAAATGGAATTTAATGTTAATAAATGTCATGTTATGGAATGTGGAATAGGAGAACATAGACCCCATACAACCTATATATTATGTGAGAAATCTTTAAAGAATTCTGATAAAGAAAGAGATCTAGGGGTGGTTCTAGATAGAAAACTATCACCTGAGGACCACATAAAGAATATTGTGCAAGGAGCCTATACGATGCTTTCTAACTTCAGAATTGCATTTAAATACATGGATGGCGATATACTAAAGAAATTGTTCACGACTTTTGTTAGGCCAAAGCTAGAATATGCAGTTGTTGTGTGGTGCCCATATCTTAAGAAGCACATCAACAAACTGGAAAAGGTACAAAGACATGCTACTAAGTGGCTCCCAGAACTGAAGGGCAAGAGCTACGAGAAGAGGTTAGAGGCATTAAATATGCCAAAACTAGAAGACAGAAGAAAAAGAGGTGATATGATCACTACATACAAAATAGTAACAGGAATTGATAAAATCGATAGGGAAGATTTCCTGAGACCTGGAACTTTAAGAACAAGAGGTCATAGATATAAACTAGCTAAACACAGATGCCGAAGAAATATAAGAAAATTCACTTTCGCAAACAGTGGTAGACGGTTGGAACAAGTTAGGGGAGAAGGTGGTGGAGGCCAAGACCGTCGGTAGTTTCAAAGCGTTATATGACAGAGTGCTGGGAAGACGGGACACCACGAGCGTAGCTCTCATCCTGTAACTACACTTAGGTAATTACACTTAGGTAATTACACACACACACACACACACACTCACACTTACACTCGAACATCTTAATAGAACATTTGAACTCACTTCAAAATGCAGTAAAAAAAAATAAGAATGAACCAACTTGCACTGCAAATTTATGGTAAAAAGTTTTTCCTGAAAATCTTACAAAAATGTATAAACATTTCTAAATTTTGCCTTTAACAAATGGAAATAACATTGTAAAGAAGTGCTATTAATTACAGCCATTAGGAGTAGAGAATCACATTGCTTTGACCATGCTGTCCCTACAACTACACTACAGATGTACAAGGCAAAATCACTTCGATAGAGAAACAGATTTGAGCACATTTGCCTTATGTCAAGCGTTAACCACTAGTAATTCCAAAAAGTCAGAAAGTTACAACATTCAGAGGCTCAATTATAAATAGTCCAGATTTTGGGGTACATTGAAGAAAACAGATGAAAGGTGAAACTACAAGTTTGTACATTACCACTGATTCTACATGTGTCGTTCAAGGAAACATTTTAACGTAACAATAATTTAATTTAACATAATTGAGAATATTTCACAGTACTGCATTTAATACACTAAACATTCTGTTTTCTTTTCAAACAAATATCTCCTTCAAGTTCGTATTACAAAGGTTTTTGGAATTCTGACATTAACATACTTAGCAAGTACAACATACCATATACTTTTTACTTGATGTATAATCATCACTTACAAGAATCAATGAATACTACATGCATTGAATCTTAAGACGAGAATCAGTAGTAACATAACATGGTTGCAACACTGAGCCTACTAAACATCTCCCATGTTACTTACGAATACGGCACACAGCCCGGTGACAACCTATCAGGAGGAATATTCCTTCTTAGATCCAACACTAAACATCACTCTTAAAAAGATTATCAAACTCTTCAGACCAAGTTTGTGCCGAGGATAATGTTAGTCTCTGGCAAAGGTAATATAGTATGATGCAAGTCTACACTAAAATCATTGAAAAATTAAACTAAATTTAGGGCAGCTACAGGTTTACCTCACACAAGTCATCTTGTCTTCTCACTAATAAAAAAGTGACTGACTTTGGGTTAATTTGTAAAAACTAAATCTGCAACAAAAGTAAGGTTAAGTTCCTAGTTACTTAATTATTGAAGAGAAAGCAGCAGCATTTCAGCAAATATCTACAACCCCTTCACTGCATCCCCAGCAGCAAGCCACAAAATGCTTAATATGAGAATATTACCTTAGATAATAGCAGCAATGTAGCAGTCAAAATAAAATTTAACTAGCAACACCATAATGTGTGTAGGAAACTCTCATTTATCAGTTAATGCATTCAATTCCTTCCCAAACATTTCAGTCACTGACTACCTAGTTTCAGTTGTCAGTGGATACAGAAAGTTTAAAACATTAGTTGAACAATGTTTTCACTTGTATGAATGAACAAAACCAGTGTTTGAAAATAAATATATGGTATGTGACAAGTGCGCTCTAACTTCATATGGCTAACACAATTATTAATGGAGTGCTAATTGTTGAATGATAGCACAACAGAAAATTCTCAACCACTGTCACTCTCTGAGAAAATTCTCAACCACTCCCTGGTGTCCAACCACTTGGGCTGGATGGTAGAGCAACGGTCTCGCTTCATGAAGTCGGCGTTCAATCCCCGACTGTCCTAGTGGTTGGGCACTATTCCCTTTCCTCCCGTCCCATCCCAAATCCTAATCCTGACCCTTTCCCAGTGCTATATAGTCGTAATGGCTTGGCACTTCCCCCTGATAATTCCCCCCCCCCCTACTCCCTCCCTTACAGCATGGACCAAACACCTAAATCTCTTCATGTGTTAAAAGTTTACAGCTACACCAAAACAACTACTGGACAGGCCACTGATTTCACTAAGAAATGAAAATCTCTAAATTCACTATCATCATTAGTAACACACTAGGATTTACCATACTAATGTGCATTTAGGTAATGTATTTACCAGAGCCGTCTTACCGCATGGGCCCAATGGGCACCTGCCCGGGGGCCACCATGAGCATAGGGGCCGTCACGAGCATAGGACATGTTCATTATGGAAGTAGAATGTTTAAATATTTTGGTCTTGTTGCAAGTACACTTATAATATTACCCTACATCCTGGTGTGGGACTAAATATTAAATATTTAAGATATATATTTCGAGGTGAATAACTCTTTCAGCAGAAATGAAGCCTAATGTTTTGAGTGGAGCACAGAAGAGGAAGAAAGCTGTAGAGAAGGAGAAAATAGGAAAACTCAAAATTAACATTGTGGCTCAACACAGGTGCAATGATAGCCACTCATACCATTCCTTCAGATAAAGCATCCACTCCTGCAATGTCAGCCACTAGTACTGTTCCTTCAGATACAGCATCCACATCTACATCCATTCCTGCTTTCAATCATCCAGTTTCAGCAGACATTCCATCATTGCCTGTTGCTGCTGCTGGTGATATTTTACAAGAGGAAATACCTAAATGTGTAACAGTGAAGGAGTTTGCAATCCAAGTGACAGATCCAGGGCTATGAAACATTAATGATACTAACATGATAGATTACTGGATTCGTATTGGGTCCTCATCATGTTACAATCATGATAGCAACCTTTCAAACTCATGCAGTGTATAAAACAGCTGGAGTAGAGAATATGAAGGCAAGGTATTTATCAAACAATGTGAGTAGCAGAATGGTGAGTATGTAAAACATGAATGGCTACTCTATTTACCATTCCAAGGTTGTTTGTACTTCTTTGAATATCGCCTATTGTCCAAGAAAGAATCTCCCTTTGCTACATTGGGATTCAATGACTGAAAGCACAACAATGTTATTGTAGAACATGAAAATGGAGAAGAACTTGAAAGTGCATGACAGGTGTGGTTTCTGTAATTCACTTTCTTGCCTCCAGAGGCTTGCCATTTCGTGGAGAACAAGAGCTGCCGAGTAAATTTGACCCTCTCTTGGAAGAACATCTCAAAATGTGTGGAATGGTGACCAACTGTACAGGAGAATGTTCTTTTTCAAGATTGAAACTTATACAAAATCAGCTTCATAGCACAGTGGGGCAGCATTGTTTGAACTGGCTTTCACTCATGTGCATGGAAAATGACATCCTGAAGACCAATAACTTCAAGCCAATAATAAAGCAATTTTCTGAAAAGAAATGCTGCAATACTAAGAAGTTCATAGTAATTTCATATTGTGCCATCTACTCTGTGTAGCTTACTGAGTATTATTGTATTTTTCAAACCTTGTGTATTGTTCAAATGTTTATCATATTGATTAGTTGCTGATCTACAGCAAGCTTTTGATGTTTTAACACCAGTTTTGTTGAAGTGCTAATAAAATAAATATGTTTAATATTATCGACCATTTACTTTTTATTCCTATGAATGGTTGGCGTAGGGGCCCCAGCATACTGGTGTGCCCAGGGGGCCCATAATGGTATTAAGATGGCCCTGGTATTTACCTTGCTTCACTCAATACAAATTGTGGAAATAAGAAGTACTAGTACTCTAGTTACTTACGAGAATGACCAATATATTTATGTATATACAGCATGTACAAACAACAGGTAACCTCTCCCACCTGGCATCTTTACTGCCTATTCTTTCAACATTTATGCACAATGTCCAAATCAGACTACAATCATCATTCTTCTAAATAGCTGTTCTGTGCCATGTTACCATAGCTTGACAACTATTAAAACAGTATCTATTACCCACAGTATAATGCCAAACACAACCATCCGTCAATATAAGGCAACGGTGGCTTGCCCGCCACCATTATTTATCATAACTAATTTTCCCTTACTTCTTAGACGGAGAGTTGTCCATGCGTCGGTATTGCTCCATGATCTTCTCCTCTAATTTCTCCTTTCCTCGTCGTAGATTATTCAGTTTATCACTACAAGAATTAAAATTCATTCATGGCCTTGTAATAAACACATATGGAAAGAATATTTCAATTTTTATGAGAAATAGCTATGAATGTTTTACATAATTATAGGAGACATAAAAATCCTAGCAAACTAACAGAGGAAGACTTACGTGAAATTTTTCTCTTCTTGGTGGAAATGTTGTTTGTCTTCCAGTGTTTGGGTTAGGAGATCATGGTATTGGGTCAACAGAAGTGACACTTGAGACATAAGTGACCGTCTGTCCTCCTCAAGCGTTATATTCAAGGTCTGAAGCACCTACAAAAGCAAAACCGTGGTTGGTAAAATCATTTCTACATTACAATATACCATCAGTCTCAATCACCTGATCTTATTGAAACATATAAACATTAATTATCTTATACAGTAACTTTTTCTTCTTTGAGGAAATACTTAACAACTTTGAATGAAATTTTGGCATTACAGTTTATATATGTTTTATATAAAAATGAATATTTAAAAGGGCAATTTGTATTAAAATTTTCTTGAAGTAGGACAAATACATTTATGCAATTCTACTACTGTATATTGTATAATAAACACATTTCCTCAAGTATGTGACAATTCCAAGATACGTAATTTGAAGATTAGTTTCAGGTATTTGTAGTTATACACTGTATCCATTAATAATAAACTCAAGCTCATATATTACTGAATAAACACTTAAATTCTCAGCAGCTTTCCTGTAATTAATTAACAGCATGTCAATAACTCTGAACATTATTACAAAACAATAAACACATTCATTTTAAGACCTGCCCACTTGTTATTCTTGAGATTTCTCCACAGATTTCTTTTCTCTGTGCATGATTAGTGGCCATATAACAAACTATTGCAATACTATGTTGACCAAGCCACACACTTGAAAGTGTGTGGCTTGAATGTGAAATAGTATAGCAATACCATTTCATGTATGTAATAGTATACAGTGTAATATAGCTAATGTATATTTGTAAGTGAACATTACCGTAATTATTTCACATACTGTTGCATTTAAATAATAATATATAATGTTGACCAAACCACACACTAGAAATTGAAGAGCCTGGACCATCATTAAGTTGACTGTGATAATGGTCTAAGATGGGCCAACTTGACAATGGTCTAAGATGGGCCAACTTGATAATGGTCTAAGATGGGCCAACTTGACAATGGTCTAATATGGGCCAACTTGACAATGGTCTAAGATGGGCCAACTTGACAATGGTATAAGACGGGCCAACTTGACAAATGGTCCAGGACGGACCAAAACGACGTCGTCTCTTCAATTTCTAATATGTGGTTTGGTCAACATTTTTCAGCCACGTTATTGTAACTTTTCATCATTATGTTACTATTATTATGTAACAATAATATTTAAGAGTGTTGTGCTTGAATTTTCCCAAGCTAATACAGCCTGGTGACAGGATCAAGGTCCTATAAGCAGCCTGCTGTTACTATATGAAGTATACCTGACATTGAACAAATCCACAAGGGCCGTGACGAGGATTCAAACCTGCGTCCGGGAGCATCCCAGACACTGCCTTAATCAACTGAGCTACGACAGTCGATTCAGGTTCAAATCCTCGTCACATTCCTTGTGGATTTGTTCATTTGATGCATCACATTAGTGTGATCTCTGTGTGTAATACCTGACATTTGTTGGTGAGCTTTGACACTTCAACATCTAAAGCTGCCATCTGATCTCGAGCATCGTTTAGTTCTCCCCGAAGCTCTGTTAATCGAAGTTTCACAGTGTTGTTCTCCGTTTTGACAGCTTTATAATCGCTCTGTAGTGACTTGTACTCTGTTCGTAACTTCTCATTTGCAGAGAATAAGCTTCGAAAGTCATCCTAAAATAAAAATTAATGCAGTAATTAATCAATCATCATTATGAACATGCATATTTTACTTATCAGTATCGATGCAAGATCTACAAAAGATTGCATTAAGCTTATCTGACAACCTCGCTTGATATCAGCTATTTTATTACAAAATTGCATTTATCTTTTCTATTATTATACATTTTCACACATTCAAGGAAGTAAGACAATCATTCCAGTGTTAAAAAATTGTTCACAAATAATTATGCATACAAAATTTACCATAATTTTGATGAAAAATGTAATCAGAATTCATAAATATTACTAAACATTAACAAAACAGAATTTTTGTCATACTTATTATCCAGATAAAATATGAATAGAGTTTGAGAGGACATGCAACGAGAGCACATCAAAAATATCTAGTGTGTTCCCCGACATAAAAGTTATTAAATATCAATATGCATAACTACAACTATCACTGAATTTTTACAACATATGCTTGAACTGTACTATGGTAGGCAAATATAGGCATATTATCTGTATAGTCAAATTATAACACTGTATTATGCTGGTGGACAATACATTGCTATACAAACAATGTGAAATACAGACCTCCATTTCTCCTAATCAGGAGGGCAAAATATAGATAAAATAATTATTTTGTTTGACATCACAAAATAATGTAACAGTTTATTTATTTTGAAATATTTACCAAAGTATGGTCACAATACAGAACTAACCTAAATTAATGAGCGATAATAATAATAATAATAATAAAAATAGCAAGGGAAAGTGCCAAGCCATTAGTCTATATAACACTGGGAAGTGGTCAGGAAAAAGATTTGGGATGGGACGGGGTAAGGAAGGATGGGGCTTTAACTCAAAATACTTACAACAGATTAAATTTACATTGACCAGAAACAAATTGGCAGAAATATAACCATCTGTGGAACGGACAAGATAAAAATCCGCCAGAATTAGGAAGACAAAAGGCAAACATACTCTACCTTGAGCCTAGAGTGCTCACTTCGCAAGTTTGCCAGTGAGGTAGAATCAACTTTAAGTTTAGACATTTCGTCCTCCAAGGCTTCTCGAAGTTTGAGGAGTTCATCTTCACTAGCCGACATATTACTCTGCCGTTCCTGCCAATATATAATTAAAAATTTGAATTAGCACAGCTCACAAAATAAACCATATCTAATCTGATTAGCACAAAACATGAAAAAATTAAAATTTGTGTTCAGTAAACTGTAGCAAGATACGTATTATTATACAGCATGATCAAAATGTACAAGATAGCAAAAGAAGTACAGTACTGTACATCAAGTGGATTCAGATGCTGCTTTCTAGGTTGTGAAGGGACAACAAAATGAAGAGACATGGATTGAAGTTTGGACCATCTGGAACCAGATGAGCCAGAGAAATAAGGAAATATTTGAAGACAATAGGAATGATACACAAGGGAGGAAGGGAGACAGGAAAAAAAGAGCCAGAATCAAGTTTATGAAAGCAACCATTATTCACAGTTTCAAGAGCAAGTATGACAGCATACTGGAAATCACAAGAGGTATAAACGCATTAGGTACAATAGCTGTGAGGTAGGGCTCTAGAGCTGGACCTTGATTCTCTAGACATAAATAGGAAGGCATAATTTGAGAGAATTTTATCATCAATATCCACATTTTAAATTTTGTGAAGTGGGGAGGGGAATATTGAGCTGAACAAAACAAATTGCATGTTACCCGTATATAAAACCTTGGAATAGCTCTGGAACCAATGTAGTTTGGAATTTTCAAGTTGTTCTGCACTATGCAAGTATTTATGTCAAATATTTAATTTTGTGAACAGACTAACCTTCAACTCCTTCTGCTCTTGTTTTAGGCTTCTGTGAGTTGTTTTGAGATTATTGTGCTCCAGTATAAGACTGTCATATTCTCTGGTCAACTGCTGGTGAAGACGCTGGAGAGCCTCATGATCAGACACGAGCTGACTGAGCCGACTGCCACGTTCATCACAAGAACGACGCACCTATGGAATTACTATATTAATAATTGTCATCCACACTTCCCTGAAAATAAACACTTGATTGAGTGTCGGCCTCACATGCATGGGAGTCCACGGATCAAGATCCATATAGCTAGAGTATGGTTTTAAATAGGTACAGCATACATCACTTTGAGTTTGGTGGCACTATGAATTAAAGCGCCATTGCTAAGACAATGAACTCGCAACTGCTCTTAAAGGCTATAAACAACTTATATACAGTACTATATAGCCTAAGTTACTGACTAAACTAAAGCAAGCTTACGAGAAATGATTTTACTTCAATCTTAAGAGATAAATTTGTATTCGTAATTTATTCTAAATACTACAATAAACTAACCTTCTCCTTTTCAGCATCACTTTGAGTGGCAGACGACTGTAAAGCAGAGTTCTGAGCTATGAGCGATGCTGACTGTGACTGTAGTGTTGTGTTCTCCACTTGCAGGCGAGCATTCTCCCCTTGCAACTTTGCATTATGCTGGGACATGACTGTGTTCTGGTTCGACAACGACGTCACTTGTGACTGTAGTGCACACACCTGGTCTCGGTAACTGGCCGTTTGGGACTTGAGTTCCATAATTTCACTTTCTAGGCTTCCCTTCTGTAACACAGATTAACGTCAGATTTGCAAACAGAAATATCTAATTATTGTACATATGGCAGCTTTTTTATGAAATTTGTATATGTGCATGTACTGTATATGTCATATTTATGTATGAATTTCTATGTGTAAAATTACCTGAGTGACATTACCCAAATCAAGTTTAGGAAGGAGAGATATGCTCATCATGTCTCATCTTCCCTATAATGCCTGTCATAGTTTTGAAGCTTCAGATGGTGTTAGCATACACTACCTTCTCATTTACGGTAATTTAACCCTTCTACCGTCACTTTTCCAATCTAACACCTGCAGCCTCTCCTCATAGCTGTTATGTTCCGTGTCCAGGAGCCATTTAACAGTATATCTTTGCATCCTTTCTAATATAATAATATGCTTTTTGAGATATGGGCACCATATAACTGCTGCACATTACAATTTGGGTCTCAAACGTCACAAATTTGTTCATTACCAGTAAGCATTTCTCCGTCATCATAATGAAATGCTATTTTGAGGTTGGCCTAGGTAGCATGGGAAAGGTTTTTCTTATTGTGCCCAAGATATATGATCCTTTGGTGACTTTGGTATCTATAATTACCAAAGCAATTATCCATTTTACTGCGTAACATAATAGAAGTGGGGTCCCTTTACTGCGTAACAAAATAAAAGTGGGGTCCTTTGATTGTTTCAAGCGTAGTTTGGACACACTATATGTATGAACGAGAGTGGGTGGATATAAATAGGATTTGCCTCGTATAGGCCAATAGGACTTCTGCAGTTACCTTCATTCTTATGTTCTTATGTGTAGCCACAACATTAGCTAGGTACATAGCATCCTGCCCATCTTACAATGCTGTTTTCTAGCTTATGAAGCAATTTGACATCCTCTACCTTTTCATTTCATTTATTCCATTTTTCTACAACTCTGTTCACATAAGTATTTGTTTGGCAAATTGGTATCCTAAGTCTTAAATTGATGCCCTCTTATTGTCAATATTGCAGGTTTCAAACATTCATATACACAAATATACATATGCTATTGAATATGGCAGAGTGAGATCATTGATTTTAGTACAACTCTTCTCTATATTTCTTATGACGTTCTTCACTTGAGAAGGAAGTTGAAAAATTAAGATGCGAGGACAACCGATGAGTCACAATAACGTGGCTGAAGACAAAAAACTATAGATAGGAAAGACTAAAAACTACTGATGGTTTTGAAAAATTAACTCTTACAAAGTTCACTTTACAGTTTAGTATAGCCTAAAGGCCTATAGCCAGGCCTGATCGAGGACCGGGCCACAGGGTCGTTGAGCCCCAAAAACATCACAAGGTAGCCTTATGCTAAGAGATGTGTTTCATTGATGCTAATCAACATTTTCAAAGGCAGAGTAGAAGTGAATACAATTTAGCTGGAGCAAGTGAATAGATAACAGATTTGGGTGTAGTAAGGTGTCACATGGGCCAACAGGCTCACTGCCGTACTTCCAATATTATTATGGTGGATGGAGCAGTAAGTTGGACGTCACGTCTTGAAGATGGTAGAATATAACCAGGTGTTAGTTCAACCATCTAACACACTGTTAAGGCTCAATTTCCTTCTCAAGTGAAGAAGAATATAAGAACAAATAGAGAGGATTCCTGCTAGAATGACTGATCTCACCCCCTTTCTGCCATATTAAATAACCTACGTCTAAGCCTGATACCAAAATATAGATACATACATACATCACACACACACAAATTCATAATAGATGAGGTACCCATCAATGCCCAGGTCTCTTCCCCCCCCTCCTCTTTCCTCACCTCTTTTCCTCTCTCCTCCCATTTTCCATTCTCTGCACCCCCTCTTTCCCCAACATAAGCCCCTCCCACCCTCTCCACCTTTCTCTCCCTCCCTCCTGTCTCATTCCATCTCTCTCTCCCCCCCCTCCCCTCAATCTCTCTATCTATATCTATATCTATCTATATCTATATCTATATCTATATCTATATCTATCTATATCTATCTATATCTATCTATATCTATATCTATATCTATCTATATCTATCTATATCTATATCTATCTATATCTATATATATATCTATATCTATATATATCTCTCTCTCTCTCTCTCTCTCTCTCTCTCTCTCTCTCTCTCTGTTTTCGCTTAAATCTATAACCTCTTGTTCTTGAAGTTCTAGGTCTCGGGATTTCTTCCATATCAATTTTATCAATTCCTATTACCATTTTGTATGTAGTGATCATATCACCTCTTTTTCTTCTATCTTCTTGTTTTGGCATATTTAATGCCTCTAACCTCTCCTCATATCTCTTGCCCTTTGGTTCTGGGAGCAATTTAGTTAAATGCCTTTGCACCTTTTCCAGTTTGTAGATGTGCTTCTTAAGATATGGGCACCATACAACCCCTTTATATTCCAGCTTTGATCTAACAAAAGTCATAAACAATTTCTTTAGTATTTTGCCATTCATGTATTTAAAAGCAATTCTAAAGTTAGAAAGTGTAGCATAGGCTCCTCACATGATGTTCTTTATGTGGTCCTCAGGTGATAGTTTTCTATCTAGACCACATCTAGGTCTCTTTATCAGAATTCTTTAAAGATTTCTCACATAATTAATAGGTTGTGTGGAGATTATGCTCTCCTATTACACATTCCATAACATGGCATTTATTCACATTAAATTCCATTTGCCAAGTGGTGCTCCATACACTTATTTGGTGTACAGATTCTGGAGCTTATTGGGCTCTATTAAATCTACATTTGCAACTGTGTATGGAGTCAGCCTCCACCACATCACTGCCTAATGCATTCCATTTGTTAACTTCTCTGACACTGAAAAAATTATAATGTCTCTGTGGCTCATTTGAGTATTAAGTTTCCACCTGCGTTCCTTTGTTCATGTTCCACCCATGGGAAATAGTTTGTCTTTGTCCACACTGTCAATTCCCCTGAGAATTTTGTAGGTAGTTATCATGTGTTCCCTTACTCTTCTGTTTTCCAGGGACGTAAGGTTTAGCTTCCATAGCCTTTCCTCGTAGCTTATACCTCTCAGTTCTGGGACTAGTCTGGTGGCATACCTCTGAATCTTCTCTAAATTTGCCTTGTAATTACCTAAGTGTACTTACAGGATGAGAGCTACGCTCGTGGTGTCCCATCTCCCCAGCAATCTTTGTCATATAATGCTCTGAAATTACTGACTGTTTTGGCCACCACCACCTTCTCACCTAACTTGTTCCAACCGTCTACCACTCTGTTTACAAAAGTGAATTTTCTTATATTTCTCCGGCAGCTTTGTTTCATTAGTATAAATCTATGACCTCTTGGTCTTGAAGTTCCGGGTCTCAGGAATTCTTCCCTATCAATTTTATCGATTCCTGTTACTATTTTGAACATAGTGATTATTCCTTGTGTTTAACTAGGTATGGAATCCAGGCTGGAGTTGCATACCCCAGGATTGGTCCAACATAAGTGGTAAACGAGGTTCTGAACGATTCCTTACACAAGTTTCTAAAGGCAATTCTTTTGTTGACCAATTTAGCATATGCCACTGATGATATCCATTTTGATGTGTATGTACTCACCTAGTTGTGCTTGTGGGGATTGAGCTTCAGCTCTCTGGTCGACTTGTGTATGTATGTATGTATGTATGTATGTATGTATGTATGTATGTATGTATGTATGTATGTATGTATGTATGTATGTATGTATGTATGTGTGCGCGCACACATTTTTTTTCTTTCTTTTCTGCTTGTAGATGGGTACAGTGAAAAATACAAGTTACATTTTGATGTACACAGTTTACAATGTAAGCAAGATAATAGAAACCAACACTTTTTTTACACATCCCACAGTTTTGCAAGGTAGTAAAAGCTATATGTCAATTTATTTAATGCACAAATTAAAACAAAACATTTTGAGTCAAAGTGAATTAAAATGGCCAAACGAACAAGTTTAAAAATCAATCATATAAATAAAGTTAACCTCCTCATTGCAGCGGTACACAGCATCCCTGAGTTTCGCAACTTCCTTTGACACGTCTTCGCTAAGGCCTGCATCTTCCTCTTGATGCCGTTGTCTCAGGGACTCAAGTTCACTCTTCACCTGTGAAGTTAAATATCAGAATCTTGGTTAATATTTCATGCTGGAGCATTTTTTATGGAAACTTTTAAAAACTGTTCAAGCAAGATTTCAGAGTGTGAGCCATTAGATCACATGTGAGAGTAGCATCTCTCACAAAGCTGCCTTTAAGCAATGCAGCCAAGTTCAAGTTCACTTGAACATCAATCTAAATAGATGCTGAAGCCAGGGTTCACACCCTCAGCTGGATAATTCCTTTCTTTGTCTTTACTGACCATTAAGAAAATGGTATAGCTAATTCACGAGTGAACTCAAGATTGCAACATGGAACACAATTAGTGTGAAGTAAAATTCAGAGAAATTACATTTTTCGACACTAAAATTTGTGCACATGGATTAAGTATTGCCCACTGTGATATCAATTAGATATAATGAAAGAGATTATATAAAAATTTAGAGAGGAATATTTATTAGCGCTTTTATGAAACATACAAAGTGACTAGGGGTTACACACACATGAAGAAACTTAAAAGAAAGTAATTTCACAGAAGGAAAGTAAGAAGGCACCAAGAAGAAACTTATAAACAATCCAATAACCTGGTTACAGTACTCCTTATGCATTCTGTGCATGTCAACTTGTAATTGCCATTTTCACCCTCTCGTCTCACTGCTTGATGTAATCACTCGACATGATCATTATATTATCGATTTCTAACAAGTGGTGTTCAAGCCAAAATATAAAGTCAACAACATATCAGATAAGGTCTTTTGTTATTGTTTTGGCTATCAGAATGATTAACTGCTAAAAATGAAATAGTAAAGAATGCATTTGAATTTCCTAAGTCTAAATACCAGCTGAGGGGGGGCCCTGACAGCTGAGTGGACAGTCCTCGGGATTCGTAGTCCTGAGGTTATGGGTTCAATCCCCGGTGGAGGTGGAAACAAATGGACAAAGTTTCTTTCACCCTGATGCACCTTTTCACCTAGCAATAAAGAGGTACCTGGAAGTTAGACAGCTGCTACGGGCTGCTTCCTGGGAGTGTGTAACAAATAGGAGGCCTGGTCGAGGACCGGGCCACGGGGACGCTAAGCCCCGAAATCATCTCAAGGTAACCTCAAGGCAAGGTAACCATCTTTCAGGTACTAAAGTACTTCAAGTACAGGTACTCAGGGCTAACAACACTGCAAACCAAACCCAACAGGGTTGATTGACCCAGACTACTTCTTCAAAAGGTCATTTGTAACACAAACAAGGAGCAATGATTTCAAGCTCAACAAGCCACAGTGTAGGACTGAGAACAGGAGATGCTTTTTCACCCCACAGGGTTATAAACCCATGGAACTGCCTACCCGCCGATGCCGTAAATGCCAAAACTTTGTTAAATTTTAAAGTACAACTGGAAAAAATCATCAAGGAAAATGGGTCAGGGATGGGGGAGATCTATGACAAGCTGCTGGATTCCTGTTCTCATCGAAGCCACTAGTGATAGTGGCCCCTCAAGTAAATTCATGTAAATTAACATTACACCCTAATTTGTCAAGTGGTTATATACCAACCCTTAACACAATGCTCTTTCTCTCCATATAGTATTATCATGCTGAAATTTTTAACAAATCAGCCACATCCACACCCTTCAGCCACTGACCTCCAGTAGATGTTTTCGAAGTTCTTTATTTCTGCTAACAGATTCAGAAAGACGAGACTCCAGAGACGCAATCTTCTCCTCACGAACCTCCACACTCCTCTTCAGCGTTTCCTCGAGCATCGATTCCAAGGCTTTGTAACGACTGAGGAAGAACAATATATATATATGCATATAACCATGAATTAAATGTTTTCTATCATCCAAATCATACTTCATAAACAAATAACAATTATTAATATTAAACAAATTGGAAAGATAAATAAGCTTGAAAATTTTTAGAGATAATTTTGCATGTGGAGTACGGTATTCTCTAAAATCAAACGTCTTAAAAGAGAATGGAAATTTAAAGATAAGTGAAGTGAGGACTACGACCCCCCATAAATTTACTTTTACATTATATTATAAATAATAAGCATTTTGCGTTTCTAAACTACATAACATACCCATGATCAATGTTCCCAAAAATACAACCTCTACAAATGTTCAATATTTTAAAACTATCATACAATAAAAGGTGGAAGATAATTAGTGTTATACAGATGAAGCAGCATTTAAAATTGAAGACTACATAAAGAATCGATTAATGAATTCACAGCCAGGAGGAACTGTACCTGTTTAATTTCTTTGTACTGCTTACTATTCTTGACATTAGTATGCTGAAACCATAAAAAATTCTTAGTACATCTATAAAGCTAAGAAAAATGAACAAAAATATATAACAAAAATAATGGCCCTCATCTGAATCTATGATTTTTTCAGAAAAAAATCATTCTCAATGCTAATGTTGAAAATGGCAGTTATTACCCAAGTGGTTAAACAAATTAGAAAACCAAAAGTAAACTTTACAGCCAGAAAAGTGTACAGTATACAGTGAGCCCTTACTATCTGCGAGGAATGTGTTCTGGGGAAAAGCTTTACCACATGCAAATTAATGAAAACCAAACCGAAGACCACTGTATATAATACAAAAATAAGGAGTTCCAAAAACTCGGCAGAGTCCTCTTCATATAAACCACTTATTAAAACATTATTACTAAGCACTCCCAACACTTGCCAGCTACAAATATACAGTAAATAACTGAATAAAATAGATGTTCACACTTACTAGGGATGTAGATGAAATTAAACATTACCTTTAATCTCATTTGTGGTGGTAACTGCACAACGTTTGGAAAACGGAATGACTCAAGATTTTAATCCAAAATGTGTCTTAACATAAAAAAAAAAACTGGCACTGACATGTCAATTCCAATCCAGCTTGTGTTCAGTGAAATTATCGATGAAATATATCTACATGAATAGTGAACTTCATACATACATTAGTTGCAGATAATGAGAGTATACAGTACACTCTTCATCATGTTCTTCGCAGCAAATAACAGAAAAAAATTTCCTCTGCATTTAGCATTCTAGAAATTAATAGCCTGTCTAACAAATGATAATTATAAACAAAATAGCAATTAATTAATTGGCAAGATAATCCCGACATTATTACACTATAAATGAACAATAACAACTTACTCATTGTCACTGTCGGAAACAGGGGCAGTAAGATTATCAGCATTGAGGCCAAGCTTGGCTAGATCTGAGGTTAGACTCTCAAGCTGATTGGTGAGTTGCTGCGTCCGAACCTTTAGAAATAGAATACAGCACTCTATACAACTAAATCAATTATACATGTTGCATATTGTCAGATATTAAAGTGCTAATACAGTGGAACCTCGAGTGACGAACGGCTCCAGTTACGAGCATTTCGAGTATCGAGCGAGCCACTCGCAGACAATATGTCTTGACTGTCGAGCTTTCCCTCGATTAACGAGCATTCCCACTGGTTCTCGGACACCTCCGATGACAGTTTTGCTGTTATTTCACAAGATGAGTTTTTGTTATTTTCAAGATGAGTGAGATGAGTGAGGCACTAGCTCGGTGCCAAAACGAATTAAACTCGTTAATCGAGGTGCCACTGTATTTATAGTATATTATGTGATTCTTAAAAATGTTTCATGTTGCTACTGGAATCATTATATTGAAGTTATAACATCAAAAACTTGGAGCATTCACTGGTCTGTAGTTATAATCCCAAAAAGACTCACCTTCTCCGAAACTAAATCTTCCCTTAAACAGTTGAGTGTCTTGCGTTCTGTCATCATCAGCTGTTCAAACTCTCTCTTATCCTTCTCCAACTCTCGTACCCTATAAATAAAATTGTTCATAATGCTTCTTAAAACGCAAATAAAAATACCCGAGAGGGATCATGTAGAAACAATGTTCTATGCAAATTAAAATATACCTGTCTGAAGTCCTAGGCTAATATTGAACCCAATTTCTCAGCTATGTTATAATGTGAAGAACCTACAGTATATATTTTCTTACCTACTGTCACTGCCTCTAAGTTGATCAGCTTCTTTGTTGAGTCTCTTAACATCACGTTCAAGAGTTGATGTTCTGCTTGCAGCTTCATCAATAAGACCGTCTTTCACCTCCATGGCATTACGCAGTCTTGAAACCTATTCAAGATAACACAGCTTTAATAATGTCTAAAATGACCAGTGTGCAAAATTGTATTAGAGAAGAATACCATCCCTCACACACTGAACTGATCAAGAACAATCATTTAAAATATTTTTATGTTCCATGCCTTGAACTATCATGATAGTTTGGAGGCTTCTTTGTGCCCAAATTCATTGGAATTTCTTTACTTTATGTCAGTAAATTTCAATATATATGTGTGTGGCAATCATGCCCCTTTATTGGAATAGTCTTTTCTGGATGAACCTCTGGAGGCTCTGTGAAGCTAACTCCCTGAGATGGCTCCACTACTGATTCACATCAGCCATAGGAGTCCTGCTTAGCCTACTGGAGACCACAACCTGGCCTCCTTGTAGATGCAAAGAGAGCTGGGGATTCCATTCACCTGGGGGGCCAGATTCACGAACTTACTCAAGTACTTATGAACGTGTACATCATTCCTCAATCTTTAATGGCTTTGGTTACATTTATTAAACAGTTTACAAGCATGAAAACTTGCCAATCAACTGTTGTTATTGTTATAAACAGCCTCCTGGTGATTCGGAGCTCATTAACTGTTTAATAATTGTAAACAAACCCGCCAAAGATTAAGACAAGATGTACAGGTTTGTAAGTGCATGCGTAACTGCTTCATGAATCTGGCCCCAGGGCTGTAGGAGCCTCGAACTGTGGACCCCACGCATATGAGGCCGAAGCTCTTTCGACCGAGCTATAGAGTAGTCTTAATAAGGAAAGTTTCCAGAAGCAGCATCCTGCTTTTAGAGCTGGGGATTGTTAAAATCACGCACACTGAGAAAAGATCCAAGAAGTCAGCAAAGCAAATAGACAACTGCAAGGTTCATAGAAAATGAAGCACCAAAACAGGCAAATAACTACCCATGTGATTCATTGAAAACTATTGGTTCTTACAAAATTAGCTTGAATCCCCCGCCTCCATGTGCACAAGCCATCGACTCCTCTGCAGGCCCCTATGGTTGGGACGTTCTGTTTGTTTTGTTGTAGGTTGTGTTAGTGGTTGCATGCTGGTTTACACAGCACACTGTGGGCACCCTTCATGGCCAAGTTTATTCTCTAGAATGCTTTCAGTGTCTGTTCTTCTGGTAAAGTGTCTCTACTGCCTGGATATCTATCATGGGGTATAATCCTTCAGGCCTCGGTAACTCCTCTGTGAAGTTGTGGTGTGGCTCGTAATGGTTCGATCCATCGAGCCTGCTCTCACTACATACACGAAAGTTATTTGCGTGCTTCATGCCGAAGATCATTCTGCATCTGCCTACTGAATTGGTGACATCTTCGACACTGATCTATTGATACTTATTGTGAACATTTCCTCTTTTTCCTCTCTGATTTTTTTCCCAATTTTCCAAACTGAAAAAATTTCAAATTTTTTCTGCTATTATGTCTCTATCATGTCTCTCCTCTCTGCTGTTTGCTAGCATCATCAGGTTTAGTTTTTTCAGTCTCCCTTCATACCTGCATCCCTCGCAATTCTAAGTTGAGCCTCACTGCAAATTTCTGGACATTTTTTTTTTTTTTTTTTTTTTTTTTTTTTTTTTTTAGATGGGGGGATCTACAGCGAGGCACCATACTGGTCTCTGCTGTCACATAGGAGGTGTACAGTGAACTAAATGCTTCCTTATTTAGAATCCTAAATGATTTTCTGACTTGTAAGTGCAGAGTGTGTGCTGACATTATCAGATTTATATGAGCCTTCGGAGTTAGGTTTGCTGTTATATCCACTTCCAGGTCTTTCTTTATAGTCATTATAGGGAGGTAGTTTCCCTTTATTGAATACTGTCCTTTTGGTTTCCTGTCATCTGTTCCAATTTCCATCACCTTACACATGCAGGTGTTGAATTTCAGTAGCCATTTCTTGGAAGAATTCTGCAGCTTACTTAAGTCATCTTAAAGAATCACAGTTCTCAACTGTAACTACCTAAGTGTAGTTACAGGATGAGAGTTATACTAGTGGTGTCCAATCTTCCCAGTACTCTCTTTTTCATATGAAGTTTTGAAACTACAGTATTTAAAATTTTGAACTCCACAGCTTTCTCATTTAACTTGTTCCAACTGCCTACCACTTGGTTTGCAAAAGAAAACTTTCTAATTTTTTTATGGCATCTGTTTCCTTAGCTTGAATCTAAGGTCTCTTGTCCTTAAAGTTGCAGGTTTCAGAAATTCCTTTTTGTCAATTTTGTTGATTCCTGTTTTGTAAGTAGTGATCATATCACCTCTTTTTCTTCTAGCTTTGGTATATTTAACATCCCTAGCCCCTCCTCATAGCTCTTACTTTTCAATTCCAGAAAATATTAAATATTTTTATTTATATATACAACAGTTCTTACATTCTTGTAAAGCCACTAGCGCACACAACATTTTGGACAGGTCCTTAATCCTAATTTTTCACTATTATACCATTTATACCATTATACCATTTATTTTTATACCATTTTACTATTACATTATACCATTTTCACTATTTGATGGGTATTCACTATTGAATACCCATCAAATTGTTTGAGAACCAGATACATATTCACTGCTGGGTGAACAGAGGCTACAGTTAAGGATTGGTGCCCGTTCAATCCTAGGATACAAACCCAGGTCAAAATGCTCGTGAAGCGCCAGGGCGAGTGTCTTACCACTGTGCCAAGGGGACTGCAGAAGTAGTAGCATGTCTTTGCACCTTTTCCAGTTTATTAATGTACTTCGAGATATTTGAGATATGGGCACCGTACAACTGCTGCATATTCCAATTTTGGTCTTGCAAATGTCAAACAGTTTTGTCAGTATTTCACCATCCATATATTTAAAAGCGAATTTGAAACTGGATAGCGTATCATATGCTCCTCACACTATGTACTTTATGCAGTCCTCAGGTGACAATTTTCTATCTAGAACCGCCCCAGATCTCTTTCTTCATCAGAATTTTTCAAAGCTTCTTCACATAATTTGTAGGTTGTGTGGGACTTATTTTCACCTATTCCACATTCCATGATGTGGCATCTATTCACGTTAAATTCAATTTGCCAGGTGTTGCTCCATACACTTATTTTGTCCAGGTCTTATTCAAGGGCATGATAGTCATCTAAGGTTTTCTCTGCTTGATACCTTGCTTGATGGGGTTCTGGGAGTTCTTTTACTCCCCAAGCCCAGCCTGAGGCCAGGCTCATCGTTGCGAGAGATCTCTTTCTTAGTATCTTAGCATCATAGGCAAACATGTTCACATAATTCTGCATTCCTTCAGGTAGATTGTTTATGTAGACATTGAACATTACTAATGCAAGAACTGAATCCTGTGGGACTCCACTTGTAACATTTTTTCAATCTGATACTTTGCCTCTGATTACTGTTTTCATTTCTCTGTCAGTTAGACAATTTTTCATCCATGTTAGAAGCCTCCCTGTCACTCCTCCAGTATGTTCCAGTTTCCAGCACAATCTCTCATGCAAGACTCTGTTGAAAGCCTTTTTTAGTTCCAGATAAATGCAGTCAACCTAACTATCTCTTTCCTGTAAGATCTCTGTGGCTCTATCATAAAAAAAGTGGATTTGTTACACAGGATCTTCCAGATCAAAAACCAAACTGACTATGTTATTATGTAATTTTTCTCCAGGTGTTCTACCCATTTCGTTTTAATTTTTTTCCAATAATTTTCCTAATTTGCTTGTCCACAATACAGGTCTAAAATTTAAGGGGTCTTCATTGCTACAATTTTTGTTGATTGGAACTATGTTTGCCTTTTTCCATATATCTGCCACGACTCCTGTACACAAAGATGACTGAAAAGTTAATTAAGAACATAAGAACATAAGAACAAAGGCAACTGCAGAAGGCCTATTGGCCCATACAAGGCAGTTCCTATTTATAACCACCCAATCCCACTCATATACTTGTCTAACCCGCGCTTGAAACAATCGAGGGACCCCACCTCCAGCACGTTACGCGGTAATTGGTTCCACAAATCAACAACCCTGTTACTGAACCAGTATTTACCCAAGTCTTTCCTAAATCTAAACTTATCCAATTTATACCCATTGTTTCGTGTTCTGTCTTGTGTTGATACTTTTAATACCCTATTAATATCCCCTTTGTTATGTCCATACACCCACTTGTAAACCTCTATCATGTCACCCCTAACTCTTCGCCTTTCCAGTGAATGCAACTTAAGCTTTGTTAATCTTTCTTCATATGAAAGATTTCTAATTTGGGGAATTAACTTAGTCATCCTACGCTGGACACGTTCAAGTGAATTTATATCCATTCTATAATATGGCGACCAAAACTGAACTGCATAATCTAAATGGGGCCTAACTAGAGCAAGATATAGGTTGAGAACCACACCAGGTGTCTTGTTACTAACGCTGCGATTAATAAATCCAAGTGTCCGATTTGCCTTATTACGAACATTTATGCACTGATCCTTTTGTTTTAAATTCTTACTAATCATAACTCCCAGATCCCTTTCGCAATCCGACTTCGCAATCTCAACACCATCCAGCTCGTATCTTGTAACTCTATCCCCATTACCTAACCTCAGAACTTTACATTTATCAGCATTAAACTGCATCTGCCAATCCTTTGACCATTTCAAAACCCTATCTAGATCAACTTGAAGTGATAGTGAGTCCTCCTCCGAATTAATTTCCCTACCGATTTTCGTATCATCGGCAAATTTGCAAATGTTGCTACTCAAACCTGAATCCAAATCATTTATATATATTATAAACAACAAAGGTCCCAGGACAGAGCCTTGAGGCACTCCACTTACAACATTTTCCCACTCTGACTTGATTCCATTTATACTAACTCTTTGTTTCCTTTGGTATAGCCATGCCCTAATCCAGCTTAATATAGCACCCCCAATACCATGAGACTATCTTTTTAATCAGTCTTTCATGTGGCACTGTATCAAAATCTTTGCTAAAGTCAAGGTACACAACATCACAATCCTTACCACTATCAACTGCCTCAACTATGCTAGAATAAAAAGATAACAAATTTGTTAAACATGAACGGCCATTTACAAAACCATGCTGCGACTCAATTATTAATTTATGTTTTTCAAGATGAAGACGAATTTTATTTGCTATTATAGATTCGAGTAACTTTCCCACAATAGACGTTAGGCTAATTGGTCGATAGTTAGACGCAAGTGATCTATCTCCTTTCTTAAAAACTGGTATCACATTAGCAACTTTCCAAAACTCTGGCACTCTGCCTGACTCTATTGATTTATTAAATATGGTTGACAGTGGGTCACAAAGCTCCTCTTTGCATTCTTTAAGCACCCTGGCAAACACTTCATCCGGCCCTGGGGATTTGTTTGGTTTGAGTTTTACTATTTGTTTAAGAACATCCTCCCTGGTAATTGCTAAACTCGTCAACCTGTCCTCGTCCCCACCCACATAGACTTGTTCGGCTGAAGGCATATTGTTAAGTTCCTCTTTAGTAAATACAGATACAAAATATTTATTAAAAATACTACTCATCTCTTCATCACTATCTGTTATTTGACCTGTCTCGGTTTTTAATGGACCTATCCTTTCCCTAGTCTTAGTACGATATAACTGAAAAAACCCTTTAGGATTTGTCTTTGCTTGCCCTGCTATGCGAACTTCATAGTTTCTTTTTGCTTTCCTTATCTCTTTTTTAACATTTCTAACCAGTTGAACGAATTCCTGTTCTAAAGTGACCTCCCCATTTTTAATCCTTTTGTACCAAGCTCTCTTTTTACCTATAAGGTTCTTCAAATTCTTTGTTATCCACTTTGGGTCATTAGTATTCGATCTATTCAATTTGTATGGTATACTACGTTCCTGTGCTTTGTTTAGAATATTCTTAAATAAGTTATATATTGAATCCACATCGAAATCCCCATTTAAGTCACCTATCGCTGGGTTCGTCTCGCTCCAAGACCGGCCCACACCCCATACCCAAGACTTTCCAATCAATTTGACCCAAAAAATTTCTTAGGCTATTAAAATCAGCTTTTCGAAAATCTGGCACTTTAACAGAATTTTCTCCTACAGGTCTATTCCATTCTATGCTAAATCTGATTTCTTTGTGATCACTGTGCCCTAGCTCACTCCCTATTTCGATGTCATTAATATGTGTTTCCCTGTTAGTTAACACTAAATCTAAAATATTATTTTCCCGTGTTGGTTCCTTAATGTGTTGCGTAAGAAAGCAATCGTCAATTAATTCTAGAAAATCTTCTGCTTCACTATTCCCTGTTTTGTTCAACCAGTTTATTCCACTAAAATTAAAGTCACCCATGACATAAATACTGTTAAATCTAGATGCTCTAGATATTTCATCCCATAGATGCTTTGCTTCCATTCTGTCTAAATTTGGTGGCCTATATATAACTCCTATTATAATATTATTAGCTTTTTCGTTTAATTCTATCCAAATAGTTTGTGTGTGTGGCTCAGTTTTGATTCCCTCTTTGAGACTACATTTCAAATTGTCCCTAATATATATGGCTACTCCACCTCCTCGTCTAATATATCTATCTGTGTGAAATAGTTTAAATCCATTTATTTGATATTCAGCTAATAGTTCTCTATTTTCTACATTCGTCCACGTTTCGGTAAGTGCAATAATATCTATTTTTTCTGTGCAGACAAGAGCATTTAATTCGTTAATTTTATTTCTTAGACTTCTACTGTTAGTGTAATATACCCTAAGTGAATTGTTATTTTGAGGCCCTTCTCTTTCCCTGATCATTTTGCCAATTCCTTTCTCCCACAAACACATACTTTTATTACCTCCTTCTTCCAAATCAATTCCCATACCTCTATCTACTAACAGTTTAAACCCAAACAAACACTTCTAACCACTTCTTCCAACGAATTCGCAACAGCAACAACCCCAGCTCTCGATAGATGCACCCCATCACGAGCATACATTTCATTTCTTCCATAGAAGTGTTCCCAGTTGTCTATGAAAGATATTGCATTTGATTTGCAATATCTTTCCAGCCGGCAATTGACACCAAGTGCCCTTGACATCCATTCATTTCCCACTCCCTTTCTTGGAAGAATGCCACATATGATCGGGATTCCTCTCTTGCTCCTAACTAATTCAATGGCTGTCCTGAATCTCTGTATTAGTTCCTCACTCCTAACTCGCTCAACATCATTACCCCCTGCACTAATACAAATAATGGGTTTGTTTCCATTTCCCATTTACAAATTGAAGTGGAGTGCTGAACTCAGATGTGCATTCTTTCAGAACCCAAGGTAAAAGTTCATCTGGGACAACTGTGTTGCATAAATTACCTAACTGTAATAACCTAAGTGTATTTATAGAACGAGAGCTCTGTTCATGGTATCCTATCTTCCCAGTAATCTTTGTCATATGATGTTTTGAAACTACTAACAGCTTTGACATCCACCACCTTCTCACTTAACGTGTTCCAACCATCAATCACTGTTTACAACAGCAAACTACCTAATACTTTTACGGCATTTTTGTTTCCTTAGTTTGAATTTATAACCTACAGAGTAAGCAGTTACAAGTTCCAGCTGGTCAATTGTCCACATTAGTAGGGACAATGAACCAAGCTCATGGCAGAACTTTGGAGCCATCCATCCATAATGATAAGGGGTAAAATATTTTTTCCTTAGGAGGCAAGAACCATGTCTCACAACCTCAAGAGTAGCAGAAAACTCTGGAGGAGGCTCACAACACTGAAACACACCCAACAGGGGCAATAAAGGAACAGAACTCCCAACCTCTGTCCGTAAACCGACCACCACCTGCGCAAGACAGGACTCTTGGGTCTCAGGGTTTATGAAGGGGGCCTTGGAAGATGAGTGCTTAATGGCAAGATGTACAGCTGAAGTACCTGAGTGGAACTTGCATAGAACTTTTTCCAGTGCTGTTGTGTTGATTAATTAGAGTTGAGGAGACAAAATGGGTAATATCCTCTTCCAGAAAGATACTCCTGTGAGTACTCCTGTGAGATTCGAGACTCGAGACTCGAGAACCGAGATCATCAACGTGATATCTGTAGATGAACCACCAAATTAACAGCAGCAACCCATTCAGCGCAGCGACACACACCTGACTGTGATGATAACCTTAAACCCAACAGTGTAAACGCAGAAGGCAGAAAGGATGGACATTAATATGGCACTAGACTTGCAATAGGGTTTTCCCTGTTAAGGATAAGTTAACAGATGGAGGTGGCAGGATGGGCCAAGTGATAATGAGGAAGAGGTTTTGTGAACAAACCTAAAGGTTATTACATTTTATCTCCTTATTGTCATTAGGGCGCCTGACAGCTGAGTGGACGGCGCTTTGGATTCGTAGTCCTGAGGTTCCGGGTTCAATCCCCGGTGGAGGCAGAGACAAATGGGCAAAAAGTTTCTTTCCCCCTGATGCCCCTGTTACCTAGCAGTAAATAAGTACCTGAGAGTTAGACAGCTGCTACGGGCTGCTTCCTAGGGGTGTCTTCCTAGGGGTGTGTAACAAAAAGGAGGCCTGGTCGAGGACAGGGCCACGGGGACGCTAAGTCCCGGAATCATCTCAAGATAACCTCAAGATGCTGCTACAGGGATGTTTGAAAGGATGGCTGTGGTGTTGGTGCTTAATGTTGACCTGTCCTGACTGTTATGATTCTGTGCAATGGTCTCCTGAGGCTCTTGCCTTGTAGAGTGAGCGAGATATTGTAGCTCGGAAAAGTAGTTTTTTAAACTGTTAAAGAATTTAAGTTTGTACTTAGTACAAGTCCAGATTTATGATGAGATTCAAGTAAGTTTATTGAGATAAAATACATCCCAAAATGAACAGTAGTTTAGGCTATTTCTACGCTTATCTATTTCAAGTTCTCAAGGTGCTCACAAATCCATACAGTAAACATATAATAATGTACAGTACATTACAAATACAGTATTAGAACTTTGCAGACACTAAATAATGGTTTATATTTTGAGTGAAAATAACAGAAACTCCCTTTATGCAGAAGTCATGCTAAAGTTGCCTACTGATTTAGTTTACTTGATTTCCCTGAGGGCCACTGACCCTAGTGGCCTCGACGAGAACAGGAAGCCGGCGGCTTGTCGAAGGTCCCCTCCATTTGCCTTGATGATCTCTTCCAGGTAGATTTTATATATTATATAAAATACATGTACTATACACCACTATTTATGTAACAACCATGTTATATTTTTAACTAATAGCATTCAACATATGCAAGAAACCTACCAAAATATTGCAACAAATATTTCCAATTTCACCAAAGGGTTATCCAGAAGTAATCAATAACAATTAATTAGTAAAAGGTTACTGCTTTCTTCTGCTTCTCTGTACTTATCAGGTGGATGCTGGACACATCATAGTCTATTATCCGAGGCTGCGACTTCACCTCAACTTACACAGTCGAGTGCATAATGATGACCCAACTACACACCAAAAGATGAAAAGACAACGACGTTTCGGTCCATCCTGGACCATTATCAAGTCGACTTGATAATGGTCCAGGATGGACCAAAACAGCGTCGTCTCCTTATCTTCTAGTGTGTGGTTTGGTCATCATATCTTCAGCCACGTTATTGTGTTTCATCGTCTGCAAATGCATAGTTTCCCTTTTAAACCTACTATAGCATAAGAATTTTTTTTTTATGTGTGTGTGTCTGAATATTTTAGTCTAGTGCTACTCACTTCTTTCTGAAGAGATTTATTTTCACGATCAAGACGATCATTGGTGCCCTCCATTTCCGTTAAGTCTCTCTCTAGTTCATTGAGCTTTTTGGTAGATAGCTTGAGTGTTTCCACCGTTCTCTGGAGCTGTTGGTAAATTTGGGTATCGATTTTAGTGTATAGTATGTCATGATATGCCGAACTTTAGTCAAACGTATTCAGACAGAATATACATAATGGCAGTAAAACAAAATGTTGTACATTTTCATGCATTACCATAAGTTACACACACATGGAAAAATTAATAATCCTACATGCATGTAAAATTGCAGTTCAAGTGTACTAACTTCTCAAAATTTAATGTGCTCTCATAGACTTTGGTTTACACTGATAACCAATATGAACATTTGTCAATACGACAAATCATATTGTCAACTTTGTCAACAAATACAACAAGGTTGTCGTATTTGTCAATACAACAACAATGCTATACTATACCTTTGAATTTTCATTCTCCAGCTCAGTTCTGTCCTTCTCTGTTTCTGCTAGTTTCTTTTGCATGGTGTCTAGTAACCTGTTCTTCTTTTGTACTTCATTACCAGCAGTCAGCAGGTCAAGTTCCAACTGCTCGGCCCGACTTCTTTCAGCCTTCAAGGTGACCAACTGCTTCTGAAGAAGACTTATCTGCTGGAGCTGTGCCTCTTTCTCAGATTCTAAGTCAATGATGCGTGCTGATGTCGACTTGAGGCTGTCCATGGATCGATTAAGTCTATCCACTTCAGACTGCATTTGAAGCTTCTCACTCTGCACACTTTCAAGCTGAAAATTATGATCTCTTTTAACTTACATAATTGTATTAAAAAGAGAGTGAAGAAAAAAAATTGGAAATCCTACAGATATGGGGCCAGATTCACAAGGCAGTTATGCAAGTACTTACGAACGTGTACATCTTTCCTCAATCTATGACGGCTTTGGTTACATTTATGAAACAGTTTACAAGCATGAAAACTTCCTAGTCAACTGTTGTTACTGTTATAAACAGTCTCCTGGTGCTTCGGAGCCCATTAACTGTTTAATAAATGTAAACAAAGCCGCCAAAGATTGAGAAAAGATGTACAGGTTCGCAAGTGCTTGTGGAACTGCTTCGTGAATCTGGCCCATGGTTAAGAACAAGAGCAACTTTGCCTATACTGGTATTCCTTTTTCTCGATCTCTTTCTTCCCCACCCTTCTTTTGTCTCACATCTATGTACAGTATATATTTTCTTTGCCAAGCTGCTATTCTCCACATTCTACCTGCCTTTTAGACCAAGACCTGCTATTCTCCACATTCTACCTGCCTTTTAGACCAAGAGCTGCTATTCTCCACATTCTACCTGCCTTTCAGACCAAGAGCTGCTATTCTCCACATTCTACCTGCCTTTCAGACCAAGACCTGCTATTCTCCACATTCTACCTGCCCTTCAGACCAAGAGCTGCTATTCTCCACATTCTACCTGCCTTTTAGACCAAGAGCTGCTATTCTCCACATTCTACCTGCCTTTTAGACCAAGAGCTGCTATTCTCCACATTCTACCTGCCTTTTAGACCAAGAGCTGCTATTCTCCACATTCTACCTGCCTTTTAGACCAAGAGCTGCTATTCTCCACATTCTACCTGCCTTTTAGACCAAGAGCTGCTATTCTCCACATTCTACCTGCCTTTTAGACCAAGAGCTGCTATTCTCCACATTCTACCTGCCTTTTAGACCAAGAGCTGTTATTCTTCACAAAGTAATAATTTGTACTTAGGAAATACCATGTTTCAAATTTGTCTAGAGTGCATAGAATTCATGTTCATTACAAGTGAAACAGAGGAAAGTTCAGTACCCTATTTTGGGATTGGTACAGGTGTGTTGCACTTTTCTCAAGTTTGACTGTTAAGAGAAAAGCAGCTGTCAGACTTAGTCATTAGTAAAGTGTAGGGTAAAGGAAGTTGGACACGGGTGGAGATAGGGTTGGACACGGGGAAGATACCAGATGCTCTTAAATCAGCAGACATGGCTCTTTTACACAAGGGAGGTAGCAAAACATTGGCTAAGAATTACAGTACCAGTTGCACAAATGTACTGTATGGTTAATCAAATACTGTAGTTAGGATTATACTTCCATTAGTAGATTATAATTACCTTGGCAACAGTTTCTTTCATGTTGGTTAGCATCTTGGACACTCTTGAATACTCGACTTCAAGGCTTGCATAGTCGTGCTCCATAGTCTCGTGTCGTTCACAACTCTCTCGGAAGGCCCCAATTGCCTGTAATTATCAATAACAGAACGCTAAGGAAAATTAAAAGTATTCATAGTATAAGAAAGGTCTCTGACATCTGGACAAGTGTCTCCATGATCTAAATTTTAATTCATTGTGTCAGGGGGACAGGAAGCCAGAGTCTTTGTGGCTTCCTGTCCCCTGGCTTTTATCGAGATCTCGCCCCCCCCCCCTTTCTAAGGTCGAATTACTGATCCCGCCCAGGATGCAAACCTCACAACAAGCTGACTAACTCCTGAGTACCTATTTGCTGCTAGGTGAACAGAGGCATTCGGTGAAAGTAAATGTGCCCAACCATTCCTGTCCCACCTGGGATTCGAACCCAGAATTCTCGATTGTGCGTCAAGAACGGGACCCTTTTTGTTAAATGTTACTACCAGAAATTAATTTCTTAACTAATTTTTCAAAGAAATATCCGAGTAACATTAAAAAATTACTCTATACAGGAGTTCTCTATCATGAAACTAAGCATAATGGAAATATGTAATTTCTGAAAAAATCTATTAAAATTTATTTAAGTGTTTTTTAAATATTTCCCCTAGTCTGTTGTTCACTCATTTCATTCTTAATAATTCTCAAAATCATAATAAATTTATCTTTGTTTCCTTTGAACTTCTTACTAATTCGTTCTTGCCCGAATGTAAATACAAAATATGTAAAGGTATCATGCCTAAGGTCAGAAAATATACAGCAAGTGAATACTACATGCTACTTCAGTGTGATGCATATGTGTCAACGAGAAACACGGAAGGGAAGAGTTACACATTTATTTTTTGTTATCATATTTTCTTTGTACTGTACAGTACTCTATATTTATTACAGAGTACATTAAACACTAACATGGTATATCCAACACCATGATGCATATCACTAGCATACTAAGATAGTTACAGACCAGCCACACAACTTAATTGAATATGGCACTGTATTGTCAACCAACACTCGGTTTGATCTAGTAACATATTTACACCAGTCGCATACGACCTGGTCGATTGATGCAGCAACCACCAGTACAAAATGTAACTGTACTAAATGCTACTTCATGGAGTCTGCCACTGCCACTTTGTTATTTAAATAACTATTGTATAAACTGGCATCAAATACTGTACCATATCCACAATAATATTTGGGAGGTGACTGTGTCTGACAAGTGATGATTTTAAATTATTATTTATGTATTAAAATGAGGTTCAAGAAATTATTACAGGTGACAACATATGACAATTGAATATTGTAAATACCAACTACACACTGGTAGTTTTCCCTTTTATTAAACATTTACTTTAACTCTATCTAGGAGGCCTGGTTAAGAACTGGGCTGCAGGGACGTTGAGCCCTGAAATCATCGCAAGGTTATCTTGAGATGATTTCAGGGCTTAGCGTCCCCGCGGCCTGGTCCTCGACCAGGCCTTCTATTTGTTACACACCCCACAGAAAGCAGCCCGAAGCAGCTGTCTAACTCCCAGGTACCTATTTACTGCTAGGTAACAGGGGGCATCAGAGTAAAAGAAACATTTTGCCCATTTATCTCTACCTCCACCGGGGATCGAACCCGGAACCTCAGGACTACGAATCTGAAGAGCTGTCCACCCAGCTGTCAGGCGCCCGTAAGGTAAGGTAAGGTACCACATATATTGACTAAGATAATATTAAACTTAACAATGATGCCTGTTTAACTTGAAATCTCTGAGCTTTCTGCTAAACAGGATGGTAATTAAGGATTTAACAACTATTTTTAGATTTTTTTAAGCAACAGAACTTTACCTTGTGAAGGTCGCGATTTTCTCGCTCTATTTCTGCTTTTTGATGTTCAGCTTCTGAAAGTCTATCTGCGGATTCTCTCAACCGTTCTGTCAATCTGTTCAGTTGCTGTTTTTCATACTCCAGCCTTGAAACCTAGAAAACATATATAATAAATTACAAAATATGGTATAGCCACCAAAATTAGTACATTTTCTTCATAATATGTAATACAACATTGCTAAAATTAATCTTGGAAAATAAATTAGTAACAGAACTGAATAAAAAAAATATGCATTGCTAACAAATTTGGCTAACCACAAAGTAACACTAAATAAAATATAAAGTTGGTATATACCTGACTCTGCAACTGAAAATTAACATCTGTGAGTTTCTTGTTTTCTGTCTCAACATCAAGAAGTCGGGTATCTGTTGTCTTCTTCTGCCTCTCTCGCAAACTCTCTATCAGTTCAAGAAGCTGTGTGTTTTCGTGCTGTTAAATAAATTAATGGCCTGATCAGTGAAAAGATATAATTTACAATAACCAATTTGTAAATGTTTCCATCTCTGAACAACCAGACATTCTACTGTAAGTGAAAATTGTGCATATACCTGTACCTGGATTGTACCTGGATACATAACTGGGAGGAGTTCTACTTCCCAAGCCTGGCCTGGGGGCCAGGCTTGACCTGTGAGAACTTGGTCCAACAGGCTGTTGCTTGGAGTGGCCTGCAGGCCCACATATCCACCACAGTATACAATTATATGTATATACAACCGAGTGTGTATATTATTTTGTGTGTAAATATAATTGTATGTGTGTATATACTGTACAACTGTAATTTCCCAAGAGTAATTACCCAAGACAATTTACAGGATGAGAGCTATGCTCCTGGTGGCCCATCTTACTGTCATATAATGCTTTGCTACTACTGCAAGTTTTGTCCTCCACTGCCTTGACACTTGCTCCAAGTGACACTTGGCATTTGCTTGCACCAAGCAGCAAAATGTGAGGAAGTGTGGAAAAGAAATAAATAAATATAGATGGGAAGAACAAGCAAATCAAAATATAAAAAATAACAGGATTCTTTGTTTTGTTTGAATACAACGCAAATGGCGTAATCCTGATTCCTTGTACAGCCGAATCGGAAATGATCAATGCAAATCTTACGAAGCACAGTATTACTAAAATCATTTATAATTTTCATCGCCATTAATAAACATAATATATATTAATGAACAGAGACTCCTTTATGTACAGTATAGAGAGGAACAAATCCACAAGGGGGCGTGACAAGGATTCGAACCTAAGTCCAAGAGCATCCCAGAGGCTGCCTTAATCGACTGAGCTACGACAGGAAGCTCTGGGAGTTGCAAGAAGGCAGTGCCTGGCATGCTCTTGGACGCAAGTTCGAATCCTCGTCACGGCCCTTGTGGATTTGTTCATTTGATGCATCACATTATTGTGATTTCTGTGTGTACAGTATACAGTATATGAATAAAAATGATTTTGTATCCATTGGTTTAAAAGAATGTGTATTAGCACAAGTGCATCAAGTGGCATCTTCCTAGTCACCCACCTGAAGTTCGTCAATTTGACGCTGAGAATTGGTCTTGATAGTATTGAGGGTCTGATGCAAGCGTTGAGTTTCTTGATGCCGCTGCTCCGATTCTTCCTGAGATTCTAATAAATGTGCCCGCTCCTTTTGACTGACTTCTTGCAACTGGTTTACCTAAAATCATGTTATTACAATCAATTATTCTACTCAAGAGAATAATGACAAGATTTAAAAATTCTTTAATCTAGATGCCTTGATACACAGACCCTTAAAGTCAATGAAAAAGAGGCAAACACATACCAATGACTATTACTCAAGGTTTTCAGCATGATTCCCAATCAAATTGATTAATACTTTTGAATAGCATATACGTCTTGATACCTTAATAAATACATTTCACTGAAGATCAAACTTTTCTAACAAAACAACCATATGAAGCAAAGTGGACTTGAGGGATACATCTATCAATTATAGCAAAATTCTAAATGGTACAGCATTCCAATAAAATTGTAAATCATGATTAGTAAACAAAAAATATTGCTACTAATGCTGCCTAAGAAATGTGTGCAAGTACAGTACAGTACTCAAGATGCAAAAGAAATCAATTCACTATGCACTCTGGCACCAACGCTGATTTTATAAAAGGACTAACCTTAAGGGACAGTCTCTTATTCTCTTTCTCAAGCTCCAGTAGCTTGTCTGTTGAAGTAAGAAGGGAGCCATGCTTCAATTGTTCATTTTCAGCTTCTAGCCTTTGGTTTTCAAGCTGTAATTTAAGAACTCTGGCCTGAGCATCACCGATGAGATCACTTCCGATGCTAGAGCCATTCAAAGGTTGCTGGGACTTTAGATGGTCGAGCTGAGCCACCAGTGTGGCAGATTCACTAAGAGAGTTTTTAGTGCTGAGTTGCAGCTGAGCGTTCTCTTCCATCACTTCCTGCAATCTTTCTCGGTCAGAATCACGCTCCTTGAATAGAAATTCATGAGTGGTAATTAAAAATTAAGTTGTGGTTCCATGTTATCTGAATAGTAAGTTAATTAAAATATTGTAACTTATTTTCATCAATTGGAGGTAACCTTACCACAAATATTCCAAAGATCCATACAAGTGTATATATCTATCTCACTGCCAGCTATCACAACTCACTCTACTGTTTTACCAATCAGCCCCTAACACAATCTTCATAGTTCATTCTTTCACAACTAAAGTTGGCAACAATACTGAAATAGTAACCATGATATATATATAAGAGTTGCTCCAGTACCAGCACCAGTCATTGCTTTGCTCTCCAACATACAGTATCTCTGAGTTGTACACCTTTCCTGATACAGTATACTAGAATAATGAACAGTAACTCCAATACACAATTGGGACCAATACACTTTAGCGGGACCAAAGAGCCAAAGCTCAACCCCCACAAGCACAACTAGGTGAGTACAATCTATTAGAAATATACATAAATATTTTAAAAGCTCATAGAATATACAAACAGCTATACTCCTGCCTAGCAATTTTCAACATAATTTACCAAGTTCCAACCAATTCAGTATCAAATCTCACATCTTGCGTTATCTTGAGATGATTTCGGGGCTTAGCGTCCCTGCGCCCGGTCCTCGACCAGGCCTCCTTTTTGTTACACACCCCCAGGAAGCAGCCCGTAGCAGCTGTCTACCTCCCAGGTACCTATTTTACTGCTAGGTAAACAGGTGCATCAGGGTGAAAGAAACTCTGCCCATTTGTTTCCGCCTCCACCAGGAATTGAACCCAGAACCTCAGGACTACGAATTCGAAGCGCTGTCCACTCAGTTGTCAGGCTCCCTGACAGCCAGACAAGCTCCCTCCTAGGCATATGAGTACTATAATGCCATTGTCAGCTTACATGCCAATCTCCTAAGCATTTGACATAAATGAATTACCAATTGGCCTCTTCATTGATCTGAGCCTTCAACACAGAAAATGACATCAATCTCCTACTTCAACTCAACACTGGAATTCAAGGCCTGTCCCTGAAACTACTGCATAGCTTGTCATACATTAACAACAGACATCATTATGCAGTCATCAATGACACCACCTCTTCCCGTTTTTCCCCAATAACCACAGGAGTACCCTGGCTTTACGCCCTAGAGAGGTCACTCCAGACCGACAACTAGAACGCAACTCCATAGTCTCCCGAGACTGATGGATGCCTACTACTACCCCTCTAAGGCAGCATACTAGGACCTTCACTATAACCTTATATACAGTATTGTAAGCACATCTCCTGTCCTCAGGTAAGTATGACGAACTATTCCTTTCCCCCGTCCCATCCCAAATCCTTATCCTCATTCTTTCTAAGTGCTATATAGTCGTAATGGCTTAGTGCTTTCTCCTGATCATTTCCTTCCCTCCCTCTCTCCCTTACCATAGCCTGTGCTGCTTGGAACTTTTTGTTTCGAGTAGTTGAATCTTAAACAACAACAGTATTGTAAATCCCTAACTTGCTAAATGCTTCTAATCTTCATACTGTTTGCTGATGGATGACAATCTTCATCTTCTCTAACCTCCAAACAACTTAAATTATAGAGTAAACAATGAAACTAAAAGTAAGTCTTCTCACAGAAGTCAATCGATAAGCTCACACTAAGCATAGAGTCTACCTACTGTACGACATTTTATTTGGGAACAAGTCATCCAGCCAAACAGACCTTCAACCAAACAATGTAGACATTGAAAGTCAAAGTGAGGGAAGAGTCCTAGGCTTGCCTATTGACTAGAGACTTGACCTCAACACTCCATATAACAGACACAAGTCAAGCCTGGCCTCGGGCCGGGCTTGGGCAGTAGAAGAACTCCCAGAACCCCATCAAGCAGGTATATGTGGGCCTGCGGGCCGCTCCAAGCAACAACCTGGTGGACCAAACTCTCACAAGTCAAGCCTGGCCTCGGGCCGGGCTTGGGCAGTAGAAGAACTCCCAGAACCCCATCAAGCAGGTATATGTGGGCCTGCGGGCCGCTCCAAGCAACAGCCTGGTGGACCAAACTCTCACAAGTCAAGCCTGGTCTCGGGCCGGGCTTGGGCAGTAGAAGAACTCCCAGAACCCCATCAAGCAGGTATATGTGGGCCTGTGGGCCGCTCCAAGCAACAGCCTGTTGGACCAAGCTCTCATAAGTCAAGGCCAGGCTTGGGGAGTAGAAGAACTTCCAGAACCCCATCAAGCAGGTATCAAGCAGGTATCAAATAACCAAAAAGAATACAAAATGGTTGGGCTCTTAAAAATCTGACACCATGTCTGCAATTATGCTAATTTTACCCTATATTATTCATTAATTTGTTTTCACTACAATATCTGTGCATGGGACTCAACCACCACAAACTACCGCATTGTCACTTAGCAAAAATCTGCTATCAGAACTATAAAAAAATATTTTCTTCAGACAACATTCTGCTTCAATGCTTAACTCCCTGAATATGTTAAACATACACACACTTAATATATCCTTTTGGGCACTTTACACTTGAAAATTCCTAACTTGAAACTCATTCTAGATGGATATATATAACTTGAATGCATAAAGATCACACCAGAAATTATTATTTTTGACATTCCCAACCACTTGGGGTGGAAGGGGAGAGCGACGGTCTCGTTTCATGCAGGTCGGCGTTCAATCCCCGACCATCCAAATGGTTGGGCAACATTCCTTTCCCCCCCCCCCCCCCCCGTTCCATCCCATATCTTTATTCTGACCCCCTTACAAGTGCTATATAATCGTAATTGCTTGGTGCATTCTCCTGATAGTTCCCTTCTGACATTCCCTGAGCCTGACTAAATCAACACAAACATGGAACCATATTAAGGTTCCCCAAATATGGCACTCACACTTTTATTTTTTTATTTTTTTTTATTTTTTTTTTCATTCCATGTAATCTGTTATCATTTTTTTGTCTATAAATTTTGCAAGTATTTACCTCCTTAAAATTTTCTTAGATTAAGGACCTGCCCGAAACGCTGCGCGTGCTAGTGGCTTTACAAGACTGTAATTACCATAATTGTATCCTCACATTCCTTATGTACATTCTTGTATATGCATAAATAAATAAATAAATAAATAAATAAATAAATAAATAAATAAATAAATTTATAAAGCAAAGTTGGCTCAACTAAACTTTCATTCAAAGGTAAAACAAATAAATATATAATTTCCTGCCCATGGTTCCCCACCTTGAAATTCTACTTCACCTCTGTGCTCAATTATTTAATAAGATAACCGTTTCATTACAATTATAAATATTTTCATTACAACCATCAGTTGTCATTATCTAATTTTGTAGCAGCATGTACTTGCCTCATGTTAACTATAATGTCAACTAGTTTCCACCTCTAGTTTAATGTGTTTTATACTAGACATCAAAAGTACCTAAGGTTGCAGTTCAGCAAGGACAGATTAAAACACATTCTCACTTATCTAAATCACCAAGGTATGAATTTTGGTCTTTGTTTCTGTCACAGTATTAAAGCAGTACACTGTACTGTAATTTGTTTTTTTATGTGAGAAATGCTTGTTTCAGGCAAGATAGAGTAATATACTAACAATTGTAATCTGGTTTATGGTCTGCTTTAGCTGAAGAATGTTGTTCTCTAAATCCAAGACTTGCTCCGCTCTCCTTCGCGATGAGGCCAGTTGTTCCTCCAACATCTCTTTGGTTTCCACAAGGATCCTGGAATTTACATAAAATATGGATAAATACAACCACATCACAAACTATATTTAAAGCTCATTTCAGTGTTGTGTTTCTGCATAATAAATTTCAGACCCACCTGTTGTCTTCACGTAGCTCCTCGACTCGCGTCTTGTAAAATTCTATGTCGGCCATCTTGTCACGATAGCGTGCCACCTCCTGCTCGAGGGCATCCACTCGGCTGGCACGCTCTCGCAGGATGTCTGCTTCATCCCTCCATGCCCGCGCTGCCCTGGCATCTTGAACCAACTCGACATTCTGTATCAAAATTAGAGGAGCAAATACAGTACTGTGCTGTGTTCATCAAAGAGCCCAACAAAATTTAATGTAATCTTTCTTCAGTAAACCCTTCAAAAAATCCAGATTATATAATTTCAAATTTAATCTGGATCTTCAAATAAGTTGTTTATTTTGCATAATTTTATCTAAATCTGTGTGAGAATGTCTGTCTGTCTGTGAAGTTGGAGGTCTCACTCAAACTTTCCCACGAAGCATGTATGGTAAGGGAGTGTCATAGTTTAGTCTGCAAAAGAGCAGCACACAACAGAGCAGAAAAACAGCAACAGTTGGAACATCTTGCTGGAGCACAGCAGTCAGCAATACACAATAAAAAATCTTGCCTCAGTCAGGCACTAACCAAGAGGCCAGGTCACCTCGGGTCAACAGTGAAGGAGGTCACTATGTTGTCAGCTACGATGCTGCCATGCTAATCCATGAGAATTACTACTACTACATCAAAGGAGGCCTTACTGTTTATATACATCAGTAAGGGGCACGAGATAAGTCTTCAGTGTCTATATTGATTGGTTATATTTATGATATCCTAGTGGTGTTACAATGATATTACATCTGGGATATTACAAGTGAGGGTCAGCTGGCATCTAACATCCCCCCCAAACCCCATGTAAAAAAAATTTGTGAATTATGAAACATTGGTTATATTGTCCATAGACTTACCTAGCAATTTCAGTCATCGCCAGAGAGAAAAAGGGGGAGCGGGAAAGGGAGAAGGATGATGAGGGGAATGTTTGAAGAGAGGAAAAATGGGTAGAGAGAGGGATAGGGTAAGAGAGATGTGAAGGAAGTGGGAAAGAATTCCAGGTACGGCTAGGCCCTCTAGTATATTTTATTTTAAAACTAAAGTTAGCCGACCTGGTAGACTGGAAGGATGGGTGTAACTTAGTCTGCCCTAGAGCAAACCAAGTGTCTTAGGCTTCACAATCTTTCTTAAGAGTCAAGAGGAAGGGTTTTGAAGGAGACTTAACAAGTTTTCTTTGGATACAGTTCAATCTTGGATGGCATTTACTTTGTTTCAGACATGGGAGGGAAACCACTGCAGTCAGAGGTTCCTAATTTGCATGCAGAAATATCAGAGGCACTCCAATTTCATGTCGTTGACAAGTTGGCAGAAGTTCTTTGGTCTGCAAGACTGCAACGAGAAGCTCTGTCCTCAAGTCGACAAACATTACAACTTCTCAGGGGGTGAGTGTCATAGGGGTAGAAGCTGGAAAGTCTGATAAATGGCAGAAGTTCACCAGTGAGGTTGAAATGACTAGAGAGGAGCTTCCGTGTTTGACATAGATTCAAAGTATGCCACAGCTATAGTCGATGTAGCCGATTGCGTGACCCATATGTATACCTGTACACTATGAAGTTAAGGTTATCACCCCAAACATATTTCCCAAAATAATCCTGGAGATAAGATCGAAATCTCCAACTTGGGCGCCGGTATCAAAGGAAGTGTCATGTCCACACACTGCACCGTCTTCCCAAGGTGGAACCATAGACAAGACAGGGCAAGTCAAAACCTCCGAATGAGCAAGCTGCGTCGCTCCTAGAGCCCCATACACTATAGGAATAAAGGGCAGGCATTTTAGTTGGGCCTGTAGGTCTCCAGCAGCATTCCTTGTACCCCTCCAAAAACCAGACAGCAGGAGGGGGCTAATTCAACTTGGTGTCCTGCAGTCGTTCTTGGAGACGTTCATAGCATCGCGAAGAGGACCCTGGACTTAGAAAACAGACAGAGAACATAAGAAAAAGCCAGAGCCCAGGAAAATATACGTATGGCAACATGTTGGAAAGGCTCCTCTGTCTGGAGGATCGATGGGCAGGTGAAGCCCTCTGTCTGGAGGATCGATGGGCAGATGAAGCCCTCTGTCTGGAGGATCGATGGGCAGATGAAGCCCTCTGTCTGGAAGATCGATGGGCAGATGAAGCCCTCTGTCTGGAAGATCGATGGGCAGGTGAAGCTCTCTGGAAGATCGATGGGCAGGTGAAGCCCTCTGTCTGGAAGATCGATGGGCAGGTGAAGCCCTCTGTCTGGAAGATCGATGGGCAGGTGAAGCCCTCTGTCTGGAAGATCGATGGGCAGGTGAAGCTCTCTGGAAGATCGATGGGCAGGTGAAGCCCTCTGTCTGGAAGATCGATGGGCAGGTGAAGCCCTCTGTCTGGAGGATCGATGGGCAGGTGAAGCCCTCTGGAAGATCGATGGGCAGATGAAGCCCTCTGTCTGGAAGATCGATGGGCAGGTGAAGCCCTCTGTCTGGAGGATCGATGGGCAGATGAAGCCCTCTGTCTGGAAGATCGATGGGCAGGTGAAGCCCTCTGTCTGGAAGATCGATGGGCAGGTGAAGCCCTCTGTCTGGAGGATCGATGGACAGGTGAAGCCCTCTGTCTGGAGGATCGATGGGCAGATGAAGCCCTCTGTCTGGAGGATCGATGGGCAGGTGAAGCCCTCTGTCTGGAAGATCGATGGGCAGGTGAAGCCCTCTGTCTGGAAGATCGATGGGCAGGTGAAGCCCTGTCTGGAGGATCGATGGGCAGATGAAGCCCTCTGTCTGGAGGATCGATGGGCAGGTGAAGCCCTCTGTCTGGAGGATCGATGGGCAGATGAAGCCCTCTGGAAGATCGATGGACAGATGAAGCCCTCTGTCTGGAGGATCGATGGGCAGGTGAAGCCCTCTGTCTGGAGGATCGATGGGCAGATGAAGCCCTCTGTCTGGAGGATCGATGGGCAGATGAAGCCCTGTCTGGAGGATCGATGGGCAGATGAAGCCCTCTGTCTGGAGGATCAATGGGCAGATGAAGCCCTCTGTCTGGAGGATCGACGGGCAGATGAAGCCCTCTGTCTGGAGGATCGATGGGCAGATGAAGCCCTCTGTCTGGAGGATCGATGGGCAGATGAAGCCCTCTGTCTGGAGGATCGATGGGCAGATGAAGCCCTCTGTCTGGATGATCGATGGGCAGGTGAAGCCCTCTGGAGGATCGATGGGCAGATGAAGCCCTCTGTCTGGAGGATCGATGGGCAGATGAAGCCCTCTGTCTGGAGGATCGATGGGCAGGTGAAGCCCTCTGTCTGGAGGATCGATGGGCAGGTGAAGCCCTCTGTCTGGAGGATCGATGGGCAGATGAAGCCCTCTGTCTGGAAGATCGATGGGCAGATGAAGCCCTCTGTCTGGAGGATCGATGGGCAGATGAAGCCCTCTGTCTGGAGGATCGATGGGCAGATGAAGGCCTCTGTCTGGAGGATCGATGGGCAGGTGAAGCCCTCTGTCTGGAGGATCGATGGGCAGGTGAAGCCCTCTGTCTGGAGGATCGATGGGCAGGTGAAGCCCTCTGTCTGGAGGATCGATGGGCAGAGGAAGCCCTCTGTCTGGAAGATCGATGGGTAGGTGAAGCCCTCTGTCTGGAGGATCGATGGGCAGGTGAAGCCCTCTGTCTGGAGGATCGATGGGCAGATGAAGCCCTCTGTCTGGAGGATCGATGGGCAGGTGAAGCCCTCTGTCTGGAGGATCGATGGGCAGGTGAAGCCCTCTGTCTGGAGGATCGATGGGCAGATGAAGCCCTCTGGAGGATCGATGGGCAGATGAAGCCCTCTGTCTGGAGGATCGATGGACAGATGAAGCCCTCTGTCTGGAGGATCGATGGGCAGATGAAGCCCTCTGTCTGGAGGATCGATGGGCAGATGAAGCCCTGTCTGGAGGATCGATGGGCAGGTGAAGCCCTCTGTCTGGAGGATCGATGGGCAGGTGAAGCCCTCTGTCTGGAGGATTGACGGGCAGATGAAGCCCTCTGTCTGGAGGATCGATGGGCAGATGAAGCCCTGTCTGGAGGATTGACGGGCAGATGAAGCCCTCTGTCTGGAAGATCGATGGGCAAGTGAAGCTGCCTGCTTCGTATCATATTGGCTGTCCATAAAGGCATCATATACAGGAGCCGCAGAAACGTCCTACCATCATGTCAATATCGAGGTCTCGGAGGCGGGAATCACAAGAAATCGTAAGTTGGACATGATAATGATCCAGGACGGACCGCAATGTCGTCGTCTCTTCAATTTCTAATGTGTGGTTTGATCAACATGAAATCGTACATGTGGTGCTCATTAATCAGTTGTGTTTTAGATTTAGCCTCAGCCACCGTAAGCATGTTTGAAACCTCAGGCCATCCTCGTTCTGGCATTGCGGTGTGTCTATCCCTGCTATACATGATTATTTTAATGTAGTTTTTCTTAATCATTGTGTTTTGAGTTAAAAATCATCCAGTAACCAGATTTGCTGGATTTATTTTTGCATTTTTACCTAATTCTGGTAAAAAAAAAAAATTAGATTTCATAACCACGTAAGTTTAGTATTTGAACTATATCATGCCACAATATATTTTAATCGTGAAAAATGGAATGAATTTATCGTATGCAAAGACGCATAAATCAATAACTTAAGTGATAACCATTTTTAATTGGACCAAAAATGTTGTATTTCTCTAAGAAAATATCACCATCTTCCCTTCAAAGTAAATGAATGACAATGATTTATAACCATCATGTATAATGACTTTTTTCTGGAATACATATTTGGTATGTAACATTTACCCGACTGATATTTATGAAATCTGATATTTATAACTGTCACCTCAGCCGGCTCTCGTGATTTGATACGCGTTAGGCTTTGAAAAAAACTCCATGCATTAAGGCTCGAACCTTCACGTGTTAGGGCTGGAACCTTCACGTGTTAGGGCTGGAACCTTCACGTGTTAGGGCTGGAACCTTCACGTGTTAGGGCTGGAACCTTCACGTGTTAGGGCTGGAACCTTCACGTGTTAGGGCTGGAACCTTCACGTGTTAGGGCTGGAACCTTCACGTGTTAGGGCTCGAACCTTCACGTGTTAGGGCTCGAACCTTCACGTGTTAGGGCTCGAACCTTCACGTGTTAGGGCTCGAACCTTCACGTGTTAGGGCTCGAACCTTCACGTGTTAGGGCTCGAACCTTCACGTGTTAGGGCTCGAACCTTCACGTGTTAGGGCTCGAACCTTCACGTGTTAGGGCTCGAACCTTCACGTGTTAGGGCTCGAACCTTCACGTGTTAGGGCTCGAACCTTCACGTGTTAGGGCTGGAACCTTCACGTGTTAGGGCTGGAACCTTCACGTGTTAGGGCTGGAACCTTCACGTGTTAGGGCTGGAACCTTCATATATAAGGGCTGGAACCTCCACAAGGCAAGGCTGGAAACTCCATGCACGTTCTTCGTCTCAAAGAGGGCGTGTTCTTCGTCTCAAAGAGGGCGTGTTCTTCGTCTCAAAGAGGGCACGTTCTTCGTCTCAAAGAGGGCACGTTCTTCGTCTCAAAGAGGGCGTGTTCTTCGTCTCAAAGAGGGCACGTTCTTCGTCTCAAAGAGGGCGTGTTCTTCGTCTCAAAGAGGGCACGTTCTTCGTCTCAAAGAGGGCGTGTTCTTCGTCTCAAAGAGGGCACGTTCTTCGTCTCAAAGAGGGCGTGTTCTTCGTCTCAAAGAGGGCACGTTCTTCGTCTCAAAGAGGGCGTGTTCTTCGTCTCTAAAAGACACGTTCTTAGAAATAATCCCCTGATCAGCTAGGCTGTGATACCTACACCGAACCAGATGTACGAACTCTATGCCTAACTTGGCTTGTTAGGCATAAGGCATCCAGTAGGCCGGCAGATCAACTGGTTCTCAAGGAACATGCGCAAGAAATGTAAGTATTTGCTTACAAATGTGTATGAATTAAAAAAAAAAAATTACTATCTTCCCTATTTAAGTCTGTTTTCACGGTTTCTATACATATAAATTCAGTAAATATTTTTTCTGTATATTTTATATACACAGTAAATATTTTTTTTGTGTACAGATGGGCTGCGGCTAATTTGTTGAAATTCTCCTTTATCATAAGTCAAAGAGCCATTGCTTTTACTTTCTACAACTTAAGCTAATAAATTTCAATCGCTGGATACTCTAAATAAATTAAAATTTGAAGACATTCCTTAACCCGTCCCATCCCAAATCCTTATCCTGACTCCTTCCCAGGGCTATATAGTCGTAATGGCTTGGCGCTTTCCCCTGATAGTTGATCCCTCCCTTGAAGACATATTAGTTTGCGTTCACAAAGAACTAGGCCGCACCGCTCCTGTGCCGGGTAAGTCCACTACGGGCTCACCATAGCCCGTGCTACTTGCCCCGCTCCTGTGCCGGGTAAGTCCACTACGGGCTCACCATAGCCCGTGCTACTTGCCCCGCTCCTGTGCCGGGTAAGTCCACTACGGGCTCACCATAGCCCGTGCTACTTGGAACATGTTCCGAGTAGCTGAATCTATAACAACAACAGAACTAGGCTTCGGTGGAAGCCTGCGCAGCCTACCTCTTGTCTCAGCCTCCCCACCACCGTCTTGGTTTGGTCAAGCTCATCCTTATATTCCGCCAAACTCTCCGCTTTCTCCTCACTGAAAAACAAATATAAACAATTATTATATAATAGCAAAAAGCTACAAAACGTAAAGATGTAAAGAATTAATTTGTTATAACACGGAGAAATCACATTGTCGTGATATGTCAATGAACAAATCTACAGGAGCCGTGATGAAGGCTCGAACCTATGCGCTGGGTGTACCCAAGACACGCTCTAGATGACTGCACAGCGACATGGTCAAAAGAATTACAACCTGGGGTACAACCGCACCCACTACGATTCCCGAGGCTTCCACTCAGGAATCGAACACCCCGCGCATAGGTTCGAACCCTAATCACGGCTCCTGTGGCTTTGTTCATTACTTATAAAACATCTTAATTGCCACGTTTCCATGAGGCTTAAATCAGGCATGCAAATACTATAATTCTACCAAAATTTCTTATGAGGATACGAGAGCTTTAAAGTTTAATGGCCAGAAGCCTCTTGTATTCTATAATACACAATTTATTACATATTGTTCATAAGTAGCACTAAGAAATGGTCAAGAACCAACATTAACGACAAGCCAACATATATGGTACCAACTCAATTGGGTTACTTAATCAAATTCAATTCAGAATCTCGTAATCCAAATTATTGCCATCGTTGAAAAATGGTTACAGAACATAGCCTTAATTAAAAAAAAAAGTTCAGAGACGCACTTTTGAATCTATGCATGTCAAAATATATACTTCACACGGTAGTTTTGGGCAAGTACTTTGAAATTTTGAAATCACTCTCCCCCCCCCCCCCCCCCGACACACACACACAAAGAATCAGATCGCAAGCTTTTACTACAGTTTTAGGTGTGTGTACCACAAAATATCAGATTCCCGCTCCAGATCCCAAAAATATAAGCTGTTACCATGGAACTACAAAAGTCCAAATTCGTTACATCTTTTGGATATTAACCGAAAACAAACATTTAAAGTAAAAACTACATGTAAATGTTGTACCCAAATCTACGAGAGAGGTCACAGTGCTCCAACTAAATACAATGCATTGTAATGTAATAAAGGCCGTAACTAATCTATAGGAACCTGCCAGGGGACAGATTCACGAAGCAGTTACGAACGTGTACATCTTTCCTCAATATCTAACGGCTTTGGTTACATTTATTAAACGGTTTACAAGCATGAAAACTTGCCAATCAACTGTTGTTGTTATTATAAACAGCCTCCTGGTGCTTCGGAGCTCATTAACCGTTTAATAATTGTAAACAAAGCCGCCAAAGATTGATTAGAGATTCTTTTGTTCTTTTGAGATAATGTACACAATTTATGTACAATCACTATCATGCAGCATTAGCGTGTAAATCACACCATCTCAAACATTTCAAGAAGCTTGAGAAAAAACAGAGATTTGACACAAGGCGAATCCCTGAAAGAAGCAGAACGATGAACCTAAGTTTAGGTAATTAAATATCAAATTGTTTGAAAAGTCAGAGGGGATATGATCAGAACATTCAAGATACTCAAGTACATCGACAATGAGAACATAGACCGAGGTTCTCATTGAGTAAGATCAAGAAGCAACTTTACCCCTTACACTTAATGCATCTCTATATGTCATGTTAGGCTACACAAGCATTCAAAGTTTCAAATACACAAGCGAAACAAACGGTTTTACTGGAAATGTGTGGCTCAATTTATATGCGTTCTTGTACTAATTGGTATCGTCATTGCTGTCTTCAGGGAGACGTGTCGTTCCATCTAGCACTGGTCAAGTTCAAGTATGTTTATTGAGACAAGAAAGAAATACATCTCAAAGGGATAGAGTAGCTTAGGCTATTATATAGGACAGCCCTACTGGGAGAATAAATAACAATGGCGGATGGTTTAGAATTCAATAAACTCGCACGGGCTACGATACGCTGAAAACACAATTGAATCATGATAGTAGCATAGAAAATATGAAGTTTGTGTTGTTGCAGACATACATCTATGTAAACATTATATAAATATATATATAAACTTGCAGGTTGTCATTACGAAGAGACCGTTATCGGAAAAAAATTTCAAGAACAAATGACAACTGTGACAGGAATGTTGAAATGTGGAACGTGAGTCCTTGCACTCGACATTATATATATATATATATATATATATATATATATATATATATATATATATATATATATATATATATATATATATAATGGTAATCTTCTCTTGGGATTAAAAACATTTAAACATGTAATACAGAATTATAATAATTATTATTATATAATTACGAGGACATTACAACTCATTTATTATACGAAATGACGCTTTCATCAAAATTTAAAATGTCCTTTCTAGAAAAATAATTAATAGGTGCTAATCAGTATATGTATATCTGTGCAGGTGCCAGTATACATGACCGTGCAGGTGCCAGTATACATGACCGTGCAGGTGTCGGTATACATGACCGTGCAGGTGCCGGTATACATGACCGTGCAGGTGTCAGTATACATGACCGTGCAGGTGCCAGTATACATGACCGTGCAGGTGTCAGTATTCATGACCGTGCAGGTGCCAGTATACATGACCGTGCAGGTGCCAGTATACATGACCGTGCAGGTGTCAGTATACATGACCGTGCAGGTGCCAGTATACATGACCGTGCAGGTGTCAGTATACATGACCGTGCAGGTGCCAGTATACATGACCGTGCAGGTGCCAGTATACATGACCGTGCAGGTGCCAGTATACATGACCGTGCAGGTGCCGGTATACATGACCGTGCAGGAGCCGGTATACATGACCGTGCAGGTGCCAGTATACATGACCGTACAGGTGTCAGTATACATGACCGTGCAGGTGCCAGTATACATGGCCGTGCAGGTGTCAGTATACATGACCGTGCAGGTGCCAGTATACATGACCGTGCAGGTGCCGGTATACATGACCGTGCAGGTGCCAGTATACATGACCGTGCAGGTGCCAGTATACATGACCGTGCAGGTGCCGGTATACATGACCGTGCAGGTGCCGGTATACATGACCGTGCAGGTGCCGGTATACATGACCGTGCAGGTGTCAGTATACATGACCGTGCAGGTGTCAGTATACATGACCGTGCAGGTGTCAGTATACATGACCGTGCAGGTGTCAGTATACATGACCGTGCAGGTGCCAGTATACATGACCGTGCAGGTGTCAGTATACATGACCGTACAGGTGTCAGTATACATGACCGTACAGGTGTCAGTATACATGACCGTGCAGGTGCCAGTATACATGACCGTACAGGTGTCGGTATACATGACCGTGCAGGTGCCGGTATACATGACCGTGCAGGTGCCGGTATACATGACCGTGCAGGTGCCGGTATACATGACCGTGCAGGTGCCGGTATACATGACCGTGCAGGTGCCGGTATACATGACCGTGCAGGTGCCGGTATACATGACCGTGCAGGTGCCGGTATACATGACCGTGCAGGTGCCGGTATACATGACCGTGCAGGTGCCGGTATACATGACCGTGCAGGTGCCGGTATACATGACCGTGCAGGTGCCGGTATACATGACCGTGCAGGTGCCGGTATACATGACCGTGCAGGTGCCGGTATACATGACCGTGCAGGTGCCGGTATACATGACCGTGCAGGTGCCGGTATACATGACAGTGCAGGTGCCGGTATACATGACCGTGCAGGTGCCGGTATACATGACCGTGCACGTGCCGGTATACATGACCGTGCAGGTGCCGGTATACATGACCGTGCAGGTGTCAGTATACATGACCGTGCACGTGCCGGTATACATGACCGTGCAGGTGCCGGTATACATGACCGTGCAGGTGTCAGTATACATGACCGTGCAGGTGCCAGTATACATGACCGTGCAGGTGCCAGTATACATGACCGTGCAGGTGCCAGTATACATGACCGTGCAGGTGCCGGTATACATGACCGTGCAGGAGCCGGTATACATGACCGTGCAGGTGCCGGTATACATGACCGTGCAGGAGCCGGTATACATGACCGTGCAGGTGTCAGTATACATGACCGTGCAGGTGTCAGTATACATGACCGTGCAGGGGTCAGTATACATGACCGTGCAGGTGCCAGTATACATGACCGTGCAGGTGTCAGTATACATGACCGTACAGGTGTCAGTATACATGACCGTGCAGGTGTCAGTATACATGACCGTGCAGGTGTCAGTATATATGACCGTGCAGGTGTCAGTATACATGACCGTGCAGGTGCCAGTATACATGACCGTGCAGGTGTCAGTATACATGACCGTGCAGGTGCCAGTATACATGACCGTACAGGTGTCAGTATACATGACCGTGCAGGTGCCAGTATACATGACCGTGCAGGTGCCGGTATACATGACAGTGCAGGTGCCGGTATACATGACAGTGCAGGTGCCGGTATACATGACCGTGCAGGTGCCGGTATACATGACCGTGCAGGTGCCGGTATACATGACTGTGCAGGTGCCAGTATACATGACCGTGCAGATGCCGGTATACATGACCGTGCAGGTGCCGGTATACATGACAGTGCAGGTGCCGGTATACATGACCGTGCAGGTGCCGGTATACATGACCGTGCAGGTGCCAGTATACATGACAGTGCAGGTGCCGGTATACATGACCGTGCAGGTGCCAGTATACATGACCGTGCAGGTGCCAGTATACATGACCGTGCAGGTGCCAGTATACATGACAGTGCAGGTGCCGGTATACATGACCGTGCAGGTGCCAGTATACATGACCGTGCAGGTGCCAGTATACATGACCGTGCAGGTGCCAGTATACATGACCGTGCCGGTATACATGACCGTGCAGGTGCCGGTATACATGACAGTGCAGGTGCCGGTATACATGACCGTGCAGGTGCCGGTATACATGACCGTGCAGGTGCCGGTATACATGACCGTGCAGGTGCCGGTATACATGACCGTGCAGGTGCCGGTATACATGACCGTGCAGGTGCCGGTATACATGACCGTCTATTGTCTTGTATATTAGTTGATTGACGATGAGAGGCGGGACC